CAGGTGCCCCCGACATGAGTGACATCAAGCTGGCCACAAACCCTGGCCCTCTAAGGTCAAAACCCTGATGCGGCCCTCAATGAAATCGAGTTTGACACTTCTGACTTACAAGCAGGGGATGGGATTCACATAATTTAGAATAGAATAGAATTCTTTATTGGCCAAGTGTGATTGGACACACAAGGAATTTGTCTTTGGTGCAGACGCTCTCGGTGTACATAAAAGAAAAGATACGTTCGTCAAGAATCATAAGGTACAACACTTAATGATAGTCATGGGGTACAAATAAGCAATCAGGAAACAATATCAATATAAATCGTAAGGATACCAGCAACAAGGGTTACAGTCATACGGTCATAAGTGGGAGGAGATGGGTGATGGGAACGATGAGAAGATTAATAGTAGTGCAGACTTAGTGAATAGTTTGACAGCGTTGAGGGAATTATTTGTTTAGCGGAGCGATGGCGTTCGGGAATAAAACTGTCCTTGTGTCTAGTTGTTCTGGTGTGCAGTGCTCTATAGTGTCGTTTTGAGGGTAGGAGTTGAAACAGTTTATGTCCAGGATGCGAGGGGTCTGTAAATATTTTCACAGCCCTCTTTTTGACTCGTGCAGTAAACAGTCCTCAATGGGAGGCAGGTTGGTAGCCATTGTTTCTTCTGCAGTTCTAATTATCCTCTGAAGTCTGTGTCTGTCTTGTTGGGTTGCAGAACCAAACCAGAAAGTTATAGAGGTGCAGATAACAGACTGAATTTACCTATCAGTTCGCCCAGCACCGGCTTCCACGCATGTGCACGGCTTGAAAATGTGGTTCAATAGGACAGCATAGTTCTTGGGCGGGTTGAGTGGGCGGGGTGAGTGGGCGGGACCCAACCGCAGGTCGCTACTACCGCTTCTCCCGAACCGGCTGAATACCATCTCTGCCTACAATGCTGCAAAGTTGCAGTTTTTTTCCCTCAAAGTTCACATCAAATTATTTATGGAGGTCCCAGTCAATTTACGTCACTTTCAGAGTAAGGACCACATAAATAATTCTTCACTGGTCTGATCGTTTTGATAGGAACGGGTCAGGGAAAGGAATTAACAAATTTGAATAAGGGGAATGTGAAAAAGTTATCTTAGAGTGATGTGGGAACACACATCATGTGGATCATAAAATAAGATGAAAATGGTTTCCTCGCCCATCCAAAGGTTTACAAAATTTTGCAAACCATAGACATGACGGAAGAAGTTAATATATTTGCTTCGTCACCCATATAAAATCCTTCTTAAAGTCGACACGCTCTGTGCTATTGTGCATCTCTCGGTAAAACAAAGCTCTGTGTATTTTGGAGATTAATTTGCAATATTATCTCCAATGTATTTCTAGAAAGAATAATATTCCCTGTCTTCTTCCTTCCTATTTTAAAATAATCCATCAGATTTGATTATGGAAGAATTAACTGATGATAGTATAAATTCTGCTCTGTATGTATTTGGTGGACTGAGGACTGAGGCGTGAGAGATTAATTGAAGACTGTAGGAGAAATAATTAGGAGTTGGATGTCAAAGGGTTATAAAGAAAGGTAGTTGAGAGAGAGAGAGAGACATGACAGGTGATACATAATGATAGAGAAATAAATGATAGATGATAGATAGCTAGACGGACGGACAGACAGACAGATAAATATGATTGAGAGAGAGAGAGAGAGAGATGATACATAAGGTAAAGGTTCCCCTTGCACATATGTGCTAGTCGTTCCTGACTCTAGGGGGCGGTGCTCATCTCCGTTTCAAAGCCAAAGAGCCAGCACTGTCCGAAGACGTCTCCGTGGTCATGTGGCCGGCATGACTGAATACCAAAGGTGCACGGAACGCTGTTCCCTTCCCACCAAAGGGGGTCCCTATTTTTCTACTTGCATTTTTACATGCTTTCGAACTGCTAGGTTGGCAGAAGCTGGGACAAGTAATGGGAACTCACCCCATTACACGGCACTAGGGATTCGAACCGCTGAACTGCCAACCTTTCGATCGACAAGCTCTGTGTCTTAGCCACTGAGCCACCGCATCCCTGAGATGATACATAATGATAGAGAAATAGATGACAGACAGACAGACAGATATATAGATAGATGATACATAATGATAAAGATGATAGATAGATAGATAGATAGATAGATAGATAGATAGATAGATTACTCATAGATGATACATAATGATAGAGAAATAGATGATAGATAGATAGATAGATAGATAGATAGATAGATGATTGATAGATGATAGATAGATGATACATAATGATAGAGAAAGATGAGATAGGTAGGTAGATGACTCATAGATGATACATAGATAGATAGATAAATGATAGATAGATAGATGATACATAATGATAGAGAAAGATGAGATAAATAGGTAGGTAGGTAGGTAGATGACTCATAGATGATACATAATGATAGATAGATGGATAGATAGATAGATAGATAGATAGATAGATAGATAGATAGATGATACATAATTATACATAATGATAAATAGATGACAGATAGGCAGGCAGACAGATAAAATAGACCATAGATGATGATAGATAGACGATAGGTTGACAGACAAATGATACATAATGATAGACAGATAGATGATGATGATAGATGATATACAGATACAGATACAGATACAGATACAGATATACCCAGTGGTGGGTTCAAATAATTTAACAACCGGTTCTCTGCCCTAATGATTTCTTCAAAGAATCAGTTCACCAAACTGCTCAGAAAGTTAACAATCGGTTCTCTAATGGTGCGAACCGGCTGAATCCCACCACTGGATATACCATTACTAAATACTGGTCAAACAAGCAAATGAAAACAATCACATTTTTGGTAACCCCTATAGAGGCCTGTCACAGGAGAGCCTTTTCAGAGAACCCCTTACAAGTTCTCTTCTACTTTTGCAAAAGTACTTTTTAAAAAAAAAAAAAAGAGCCGTGGTTAAAGTTCAACTCCACGTCGGCTACTTGAGCCACAGATTATATTCTGAGGATGAGGTCATTCTTCCTGTTTCATTCTTAGGTCATTGTTCTTTCCCTTATGGTGATCCTCTGACTAATTCTCCTGAAATATGTCTGTGATCCATAAAATGACCTTATTAGGTTTCTTTCTCAAATATTATTATTTGCGTCTCGTTTCCCCCCCAATGTGAATAAAGAGACATGTAAAATTCAGATTTTTTTTGTTCCCTCCAGAAGGAATTGTTTTGAGGCCTTCTTTTCTTTTGATTCCTTCAGGCCTTGTGTTTCCATCCAGCCTGCCCTATGAATAGGGAATCCTCGCCTTACAACCACGATTGAGCGCAAAATCGCCGTTGCTAAGCAAGACAGCTGTGAAGTGAAGTTTGCCTGTTTTACAACCTTTCGTACCGCGGTTGCTAAATGAATCCAGGCAGTTGTTCCATTAGGTTGTTCAGCGAATCAGGCTTCCCTACTGATTTTGCTTGTCACATGACCCCGGGACATCTGCAACCAGTGGTGGGATTCAGACAGTTCATTGTGGTTTCGGCAAACTGGTAGCGGCGACTGCGGTAGGCCTCACCTACCAGAAATGGGTTGCAAATGCCATTGCTACCAGTTCGCTCTTGGGCGTGCTTGTGCATGCGCATGATGCTTCTGTGCATACGCAGAAGAGTCTGTGCAGAAGAGCCTCCCGCCACTGCTGCTACCAGTTCGCCCGATCCGGGATGAACCAGTAGCAACCCACCACTGCCGTCCACCCTCCCGGATGTAATGACGTCCTATTTTGCCACATTTTGGAGGCGGTGCACATGCGCGGAAGGCGCGGGTGCGAGCAAAGAGTGTGCGTGAAAGGCCGGGCATGCGTGGAAGGTGGGTGCATGCGCTCACATTTGCGAACCGGTATGGAAGGTAAGTAAATCCCACCTCTGACTGCAACCGTCATAAATAGGAACCGGTGGTCAAGCATCCAGATTTTGAACCTCTGATTATGGGGGATGCTGCAGCAGTCGTAAGTGTGAAAAATTGTCATGTCAATCTTTTCAGTGGCGTTGTAACTATAAACTAATTTTCACTAAACAAACAATTATTAAGTCGAGAACTACTTGTAGACAGGAAACAAATGGCACACACACTGCCATTTTCCTTTCCTCAAATGCTTTAACTTGGCATGAAAAGTACAGCTAGTGCTTGACTTAACAACATTTCATTTAACAACCGTTCGAAGTTACAAAAAGTGAGTCGTTTTTCACACTTACGACTCTTGCAACATTCACATTGATCGTGTGATCAAAATTCACACGCTTGGCAAGTGACTCATATTTATGACGGTTGTGGTGTCCCAGGGTCACCTGATCCACTATTGCGACCTTCTGACAAACCAAATCAATGGGGGAAGCCAGATTCATTAACAACCGTGTTGCTTACTAAAGTGTCAACTTAAGGCAAGGGGAATGGGAAAATGGCAAAGCAGCATGGCAGCCAAAACCAAAAGCACATTCCAGACATATCTCTCTCAAGGCTGTCTCCCAGGGTTATCCACAGCGGCTGGAGGGGAGTGATCTCTACAACCCGCAAAATTGCTCCGTTGGCGAATGTGACTGATGACACACCTTGGGAGGGAGGGGGGAAACAGGGTCAAGTTTGGGTTGTAAATTACGTGGGGTCAGAGTTGGCTTCACTTAACTGGATTTCTTTTGAAGCTTGGTTTGAGACTTATGATTTAAGTAGGGCATCCTGATTAAGAACTGCAGGGATTTGCTTATCAACTGTGGCAAGAAAGATCGTAAAATGGGGGGGGGGGGATTCACTGAACAACTGTCCTTCTTAGCAGCAGAAGCTTTGGCCTCAACTGTGGTCATAAGTCAAGGATCTGTCTGCAAACGAAAGTCAAGAATTGCAATTCTGACACCCTTCTCTCTCGCTTTCTGCTGTGTTTTTTGTTCCTGGTTTCCTCCACTTTGAACACAAACATATATTTTATCCATGTTTATATTATGTATCTGCATATATATTTTGCAGGTCCCTGAGATTATCAGTACCATCAGACAAGCAGGGAAGATCTCCCGTCAGGACGACTTTCAGAGTCCATCTGAAGATCCCTTCAGCAAGAAGTTTGAGGTGCTGTTTTGCGGCCGGGTGACGGTCGCACACAAAAATGCCCCTCCGGCCCTCATCGATGAATGCATCGAGAAATTCAACGATGTGAGTTATACCAAAAACCTGGACGGGTCCCGTCAAAATGACAGCGCCAGTGGATTTTCCATCAGTGACAAATTCCGCTCGGTCTTCCAACCTTCGGCGAGCGAAGAAGATTCCGATAAACCCTTGAGGAAGTCTCACTCTCAGCCTGGACTCCCTTCTTTGGCGTTGAAAAAGGATTTGCATACCTGGAGCCGGAAGAGCAACAGCCTGGCCAGATCCTTGGATGAAGATGACGCCGTTTCACTCAACTTAAAAAGTCAATTTATCCAGGGGCAAAACATACAGCCGACAGATATTGCTGGGAACCGGATTATGTTGTTCACGGTAAAAGCCTGATTTTGCTTGCTTAGCGTTACTGATCGTTGCTGTATTGCTAATCGTTGAAATGCCGCAGATCGTTGAGAAGGGAGTAATTTTGGATGGGGTTTAGAATCAAATAGGGTAGGCCAGGGATCAGCAACCTGCGGCTCTGGAGCCGCATGTGGCTCTTTCACCCCTCTGCTGCGGCTCCCTGTCGCTCAAAATATGTGTCACAACCGCCAATGTGCGACTCACGCCAGCACATGATTTGTTGAGCTTTTCAACCCCCAGTAGGCCAACCATGGATAAATCCAAGAGAAGAAAAAAGTTTCAGAAGAAAACAGAATGTTTAATTGAACTAAGGGTTTTGTGGCTCCCGGTGTTTTCTTTTCTGTGGGAAATGGGTCCAAATGGCTCTTTGAGTGTTTAAGGTTGCAGACCCCTGAGATAGATCCAGGGGTAGCATTCACTTACCTTCGCTACTGGTTCGCAAATGGGAGCACGTGCGCACTGGCTTAGCTCACACGCGCCACCTCCGCGCAGTCACAGGGCCTTCCACGCACGCACAGAGCATCAAAAACATGGATAAATGGGACGTGATTATGTATGGGTGGGTGGAGCCATCCGCAGCTGCCGCTACCAGTTTGTGCGAACCAGATAAACCGGCTGAATACCATCCCTGGCATAGGCCCACATCTTGTGATCCTTGGAGTCAAATTCAGCCCATCATCTGTTGGGATGGTGGCCTGTAACTTTTAATCTTGGCCAGCTGCCTATTTTTGGAGATTTTAGGAGGAGTTTTCCAGTCTCACTTATAGTAATTTAGTGAAGGCAGAGTCCATTTGGGTCATTTCAAATAATTTCTCTGGATGTTTTTTTTCCCAGGCTAAGCTGAGCAGCTGTTTCCGAGATAAATTAACAGCTGATTCGCCTGCTTCCCTCTGTGCCACTCGTTTCCCGGATTCTCACAATCTTTCTGCACTTTTCATACCAGCAAATAAACCCAGATAGTCTTCCATTATCTGGTTTCCTTTCCATTTTTGTCTGCACTGACAATTTTATTGGGGTTTTTTTTGCAAATTTTAGGTCAGTTTGGATGAAATCATGAAAGAGAAGGAAAGGAAAGGAAAGGAATGGAAAGGAAAGGAAGGGAAAGGAAAGGAAAGGAAAGGAAAGGAGGGGAAAGGAAAGGAAAGGAGGGGAAAGGAAAGGAGGGGAAAGGAAAGGAAAGGAAAGGAGGGGAAAGGAAAGGAGGGGTAAGGAAAGGAAAGGAAAGAAAAGGAAAGGAAAGGAAAGGAAAGAAGGAAATAACCAACTAGGTAATATAATCAGTGCTATTCCTAACTAGCTGGGGTAATGAAATGTCTGCAAGAAAAGAAGGAATCACAGAGAGCACCAGGGACCCCTCAATAAAAACAAAGCAATGAAAAGAGCGTGAACAAAAATAAAATAATAAAATCAACAATGAAAAGGAACATAACAAGAATATATCAGTATGATTACCAAGAAAGAAAGGTCGATGGGTAAGAGAGCAGAGGACAAGGAGCAGGAGGTGTATATACCATCTATGTAGATAGTGTAGATGAAATATACAGTATATAGATGGGATTAGTTGCTGTATGTTTAGCCCAAGAAGGAGAAGGCTTAGTATGGTAGCATCTTCCAATCCTTGAAGGGCAGGGAAGAGGGCATCAGTTTACTCTCCATAGCAGCCTAGGACAGGACGAGAAGCAACGGGTAGAAGCTCCTCCGAAGGAGATCCTATCTGGAACGAAGGAGGAATTTCCTGGCAGTGAGAACAATTAATAAATGGAGCAGCTTAGCTTGCCTTCCCAGAGTTATGGGTGCTCCATCACTGGAGGTCTTCAAGGAAAGAGTGAACAACCATTTGTCCTAATGGCATAAAGACTCTTGCCTTGGGCAGGAGGTTGGACTAGAAGACCTCCAAGGTTCCTTCCAGCCCTAGGATCAGGGGTGGGATTCAGCCGGTTTGGGAAAACCGGATGTTCATTTTAATCTGGTTTGCCGAACCGGTTGTTCCAAGGACTGGTTCACACACACACACACCCCATCTCGCCCCACCCCTCCCAGGAGTCTCCACGCAACCCATTTTGGATGCCAGGTAAATGCAGTGCCCACGCGGAGGCTCTGGGAGGGCGAAAAACGGGCCTACTAGAAGTCCAGAAACAGGCCTGTTTCCAAACTCCAGAGAGCCTCCGGTGCCTGGGGGGAGGCCGTTTTCACCCTCCCAGAGGCTCAAAAGAAAAGCCTCTGGAGCCTGGGGAGGGCGAAAAACGGGCCTACCGGAAGTACTGGAAGTCCGGAAAGGGGCCCATTTCTGGCCTCCAGAGGGCCTCCGGTTCCCCAGGGGAGGCCATTTTTACCCTCCTGGAGGTTCCAGAAAAGCCTCCGGAGCCTGGGGAGAGCAAAAACACCTCCCCACACACACTATGGTGCAGGAGGGTGAAATTTTTCAATCCCACCCCTGCCTAGGATTCTATCGTTTTGTGATTCCTCCTGGGGGAGGATTCACCTTGGATTGACTTAGCAATGTTTTCTCCATGTTTTCACTGCACGAAGCTTCCTTGTCTTCTGTGGGGAAAAGAAAGAGATTCAGTGCATGCTTACTGGGGAATCGATTCTGGTAGATTCCAGTGAAATTGATTTCCTAGGAGGAGGGTCTTTTAAGGACGAGGGTCTTCTCTAGCAGGATTAAACGTAGGTAATACTGACCTTGAGTATGACGCTTCTTTCAAGGATCCTGTGTAACCACCATGGCTTCCTGGAATGGATGTAGCCTTTCTTTCCGTTTAAGGAAATGGGTTATGGTGTAACAAAGAGGAAACACTTCTGACCTTACACTTCCTTCTTTATTGGGCAACTGGCAACTGTCCCTACTTATGAGGAATGGAGGTTGGGTCAAATAAGGAGGCCTTGGTTTTAGAAGAATAAAATAGAATAACAGAGTTGGAAGGGACCTTGGAGGTCTTCTAGTCCAACCCCCTGCTCTGGCACTAAACCACTTCAGACAAATGGTTATCCAATCTCTTCTTAACAATTTCCAAGGTTGGAGCATTCACAACTTCTGGAGGGAAGTTGTTCCACTGGTTAATTCTTCTCACTGTCAGGAAATTCCTCCTTAGTTCTAGGTTGCTTCTCTCCTTGATTAGTCTCCATCCATTGCTTCTTGTCCTGCCTTCAGATGCTTTGGAGAATAGCTTGACTCCCTCTTCTTTGTGGCGGCCCCTGAGATATCGGAACAACTGCTATCATGTCACCCCTAGTCCTTCTTTTCATTAAACTAGACACACCCAATTCCAGGAATTTGTTACGGAAAGGTCATAGTTTATGATTACTACTCCTACACAAACGCCTAAATTGTTTCCTGTTGCTTTGTACCAATGCGATCACCTCTTCTAAGAGTCCATGATGAAATATGTCAGATAACTAGGATGGAGGAAGGCCTTGAGATAGGATCCCATCAAAATAAGGCATCCCTCCCCAAAAGGTCTCTGTAATCTTTGCAATTCACCCAGATCTTTTCATTCCATTATACCATCTCAGTTGCCAAAGCTGTTTTTTTTTAAAAAAAAAAATTGGGAACTTTATCGATGTTGATGCTTTTGAGGTTACAGTTTTACGCTGTGTGCTGTTCTTCAGCTGTTCTGATTTGTGATGGGACTCATTCGGGAAATGTTATCTCTGGTGGGTAGGTAGGTAGATGGATGGATGGATGGATGGATGGATGGATGGATGATAGAGATAGATAGATAGATAGATAGATAGATAGATAGATAGATAGATAGAGAGAGAGAGAGAGAGAGAGAGAGAGAGAGAGAGAGAGAGAGAGAATAATAGATATAGAGAGTTTAGCAGAGGTAGATATATAGATGATAGATAGATAGATGATAGAGAGATAGAGATAGATAGATTGATAGATAGATGATAGACAGATGACAGATAGATAGATAGATAGATAGATAGATAGATAGATAGATAGATAGAATAGAGATAGCTTAGCAGAAATAGATAATAGATAGATAGATAGATAGATAGATAGATAGATAGATAGATAGATAAATAGATAGAGATAGCTTAGCAGAGATAGATAGATAGATAGATGATAGACTGATAGATAGAATGAGAGAATGATAGATATAGCGAGTTTAGCAGAGATAGATATATAGATGATAGATGATAGATAGATAGATATAGATTGATTGATTGATAGATAGATGATAGACAGATGATAGATAGATAGATAGATAGATAGATAGATAGATAGATAGATATAGAATGATAGAATGATAGATATTAGAGAGTTTAGCAGAGGTAGATATATAGATGATAGATAGATAGATGATAGATAGAGATAGAAAGAATGATAGATAGATGATAGACAGATGATAGATAGATAGATAGATAGATATAGAATGATAGAATGATAGATATAGAGAGTTTAGCAGGGTAGATATATAGATGATAGATAGATAGATGATAGATAGAGATAGAATGATAGATAGATGATAGACAGATGATAGACAGATGATAGATAGATAGATAGATAGATAGATAGATAGATAGATAGATAGATAGATAGATTAGAGAGAGAGAGAGGAGAGGAGATGGAGGGAGGGAGGGATGCATGGATAGCTGGATGGACAGACGGACAGACAGACAGATGATTGGATGGATGGAGAGGGGGGGATTGATTTAGAGGAGGAGAATATTTCTAGCTCAGGGCTGAACTGAGCTTGGTGGTTTTCTTGGTAGCACTGATGATGTTACTTAGCTTGGTAATGAAACATTCTGAGAGAAGACAAGCAAGCTCAGAGCACACCCAGACTCTACAATTTTAAAAAAAAAAATATTTAGCCATTCCATCACGTACAAACTATTCGCTCTGGAGAGCAGTTCCCACGTAACGGGCCCTTCAGAAGTTTGTCATAGCTCAGCGCAATGTTCAACTGCCTGCAGGCTTTGACACACGCACCATCGGTGAAGAGTTTCCAAATAAAAAATTAAGCCGCAGAGAGTAAAAACTGGCCCATTAAGAATGCTTCGCAGATTATGAGGTAATGTCTCATGGTCTGCTGGCTTGAGACTGCTGACATCTCACAGTTGCCTCGCAACATGTGCTCAAAGAATTGCGGTCCAAAATTGCAGCCTGGAATATGCATACCTGTAAGATAATGTATTTCCAACAGGTGTCTGTTTATCCCATTCGCTTTATCTATTTATTTATTTTTTAATTTGATTTATATGCCGCCCTTCTCCGGAGACTCAGGGCGGCTTACAATGCATTAAGCAATAGCCTTCATACTTTTGTATATTTATACAAAGTCAGCTTATTGCCCCCACAAACTGGGTCCTCATTTAACCTACCTTAGAAAGGATGGAAGGCTGAGTCAACCTTGAGCCTTGGCGAGATTCGAACCTGCAGAAATTGCAGGCAGCTGTGTTAATAACAGGGTGCATTAAACCACTGTACTACCAAGGCTCCTATCTATGCCCTTAAAGCAGTTTTGTACAACAGCTAAAAGCTGCCACGTTGAGGTTCTTCTTCTTGGCACCAAAACAAGATTTATATTTAATCGGACATCTAGTCTGGGCATCCTTCGAACTCTTTAAAATTAAGTTTGCTTCTGGAAACCATGTAAAGAGGAGTGGGGGCCTTGTAATTTCATTTTACACCTCATCTGATAGACATCAGTGTGGGTGAATGCTCCCACTTACTTCAGAGTAGGTGCAACCAAACGCGGAGAGATGCTCAGTGCTCCCTCCTTCTTTGAACTCGATGATGGATAATTGCCTACGAATGTATGTATTTGTTTATTTGCATCCCATCTTTGTTGTTATTGTTACAAATAACTGGAGGCAGCAAACATGTCCAAGACACCTTCCCCCCTCCCCCCATTGGACCCACAACTGTGTGATAAGTTGGGCTGAAAGAGAATGACTGGTCCAAAATCACCCAGCCAGCTTTCATGCCTAAGGTGGGACTAGAACTCACCGTCTCCTGGTGATTGGCCCAAAGTCTCCCAAGCTGGTTTTCATGCCTAAGGCGGGACTAGAACTCACCATCTCCTGGTGATTGGCCCAAAGTCTCCCAGCTGGTTTTCATGCCTAAGTGGGACTAGAACTCACCGTCTCCTGGTGATTGGCCCAAAGTCTCCCAGATGGTTTTCATGCCTAAGGTAGGACTAGAACTCACTGTCTCCTGGTGATTGGCCCAAAATCACCCAGCCTGCTTTCATGACTAAGGCAAGACTAGAACTCACTGTCTCCTGATGATTGGATGTGAGGTAAGTGCAGGGCATGTGCGGAGGCTCTGGGAGGGCATAAAACGGGTCTCCCAGACATTCGGAAATGGGCCCGTTTCTGGCCTCCGGAGCCCAGAGGAGGCCGTTTTCGCCCTCCTGGAGGCTCCAGGAAAGCCTCTGGAGCCTGGGGAGGGTGAAAAATGGGCCTACCGGAAGTACCAGAAGTCTGAAAATGGGCCTATTTCTGGCCTCCGGAGGGCCTCCAGAGCCCAGGGGGCCTTTTTGCCCTCCCGGAGGCTCGGGGAAAGCCTCCGGAGCCTGGGGAGGGTGAAAACACTCCCCCACCGTGATGCAGGAGGCCGAGTAGGCCACACCCCCATGGCCATGCCCACTCAGCAACTGGGCAGAGAACCGGTTGCTAAAATTTTTCAATTCCACCCCTAAGGAACATGTATTCTATTGGCTGTTGTCAGACTCCCATGGGGCAATGTACAAATCCTAGGAGTTTGTCTGAGCTAAGTTTGGTTGAAGTTTGGGCTGATACAATGAAGGGGCTTGTTGGGCAATTCCTATTGTGGCTGAGGACTAATCCTATCTTTGTTCAGATCTTGCTGCAGGGAATTTCAAAATATCCTGTCTTGAATGGATTTCTGCCTGCAGGATTTTGCTTATGAATAGATCTCAATAAGCTCTTTATCTCTTAAGGGCTGGCATCTGCTGTGGGCCATTAAGAAAGGTGGGGGCTGTTAAGAGTGAGTCTGCTTCCTGCCTCTAAAAAAACCCCATGTTTCTCCATTTCTCATCCAGGGAAATAAAACATTCTGCCTTTTTAATATTTCCTAAAATATTTCATTCTTCTAGGAAGGGGTGGGTGCTAACTTTCTACATATCATTCCCAAACATGATCAAAAGTGGCATTTGTTTAATCGGCTTCATCGAAGTTTTGACGTCGGCAAATTTGTGGGGTTCTTTTTTTTTCAATACCGCATTAAATAAATCCTCCTTCCTTGCATCCTGTTTATGCAGAATGTTTCGACTCAAAAATGCTGAGCACAACAATGGGAATAATATTGGGGCTGCATTATTGACATTGTTTTTACTTGTTTTCAGATTGGGCAGTCCGAAGTTTACATCATAAGTCCCGAAACCAAAAAAGTAGTTATTGAGAAAAGCTTTAAAGAAATTTCCTTTTGCTCCCAGGTATCCTCTTTTTAATTCCTTTTTTTTTTTTCATTCTCTTGTCTCTGATTGATTTCTCTGTCTGTTGGTTTTAATACATTATTATCATCATCATCATCATGATTGGATTAAATGGCCATTTGGTTACAGTCTTATACAGGTAGTCTTCAACTTACGCCCGCAGTTGAGCCCAAAATTTCTGTTAAGACATTTGTTAAGTGACTATTTTCCCCATTTTACGACATTTCCTTTCCAAGTTGTTAAGTGAATCACTGCAGTTGATACATTAGTAACCCGGTTGTTAAGTGAATCTGGTTTTCCCATTGATTTTGCTGGTCGCAAAAAGTGGATCACATGACCTTGGGACACACAGCAACGGTCGTAAGTACGAACCAGTGGGCAAGAATCTGAATTTTGATCACATGGTCGTAACATGTTGCAAAGGTCGTAACTGTGAAAAACGGTCATCAGTCATTTTTTTCAGTGCCGTTGTAACTTCGAACGGTCACTAAATCACTAACTGTTGTAAGTTGAGGAGTACTTGTTACAACGGCACTGGAGAAAAGTAATTTACGGCCATTTTTCACACATACGACCATTGCGGCATCCCCATTGGCACATGATCAAAATACAGACAATTGGCAACTGACTCATATTTATGTCGCAGTGTCCCGGGGTCACGTGTTCCTCTTTTTGTGACCTTCTGATAAGCAAAATCGACGGGGAAGCCCGATTCAATTAACAACCGTGTTTCTGAGGTAACAATTGCAGTGATTCAGGCCGCAGGATTCACCTCACAACTGTCTCGCTTAGCAACACAAATGTTGGGCTCGACTGGGGTTATAATCGGTTTGTAATTTGGTTTGTAATTCGTTTAAACCATTAACAAGTGAAGTCCAATTTTATGAAGCTGGTTTTTTTCCCCAGATTGTCCAAAGAATAGAGGCAAATGATGCAATTCCATGGAAATCCCCTAATGCTAAATGGGTTGGCGGCCAATCATGATAAAAGAAACTTTAGCATAAATCCCAGAACGGTTATTTCTAGAGGAAATCTGTCATAAATTAGAAGGAGTTTCTTTGAGATCATTTACTTTGTCAGGGAATATTTCTGAGTCAGCCCTTAGCTACTTGCCCTCAAGGTCAAATTCTGTTTTTTTTTTTTTTTAACCAGGCCAGCTGGAAATAAAATCTAATTTTTCCTACTCCCACTTCATTTAATGATTAACTTGTAGCAGAGACGGTGGAAAAAAATATTACACCGTGCATCTCTGTTGACAAAGCAAGGCATATGCTACAATTGGCCTCTTCCTTCGGAGGCTTAGCCAGTGAAAAATTATCTGTGTTACTTCCTTTTTTTCCAGTCAGGAGAGTCATTCGTCCTAAAACCAGATTTATCCTGGAGCTGCTGTTCAAGAAAAAACATAAAACATAACAAAAATTGGGAGCGCTGATTAAAAATCTTTCTACAGAAATGCCAGTCTGGGGTTTCTCAACCTTGCCAACTGGAAGATGGGTGTTATTGAACTCTGGGCCCTATCTAACAAAATGAAATTCAATGTAGAGAAAAGTAAAGTCTGACAGTTAGGCAAGAAAAAAAATGCACATATAGATTGGGTGAAACCAGGCTTAATAGCAGGAACGGTGAGTGGGATCTTGGAGTCTTAATGTTCTGCCCCAGCTACGGACCCCAAAGAACGCAGAATACACAAAGTCTGTACAAACATTAGTTTACTAAATTAAATCAGTCTTTTTCAAACAAAGGCTGTTAATTAACTTTCTTAATAGCCTACAAGAATCCAAAGAATAAATAATCGTAATCTTACTAGGGTGGGCAGAAAGCCCAGAAGCAATTTGCAGGAAACTGATAAGAGAACTAAGATCCAGATGCGAAGAAGAGTGAACGAAGTTGTTCCCTGCAAATTGCCTCAGTCGTCGTCCTTCCTTAAATAGGCTAAGGGAGTGGCCAATTAGCCCCAAGCCTTACTCTCAAGGAGACCTCCTCATGAGGAGCCACTCCTGCATTTTGGCAGCTCTGCGCGCCCGTGCATCGAGAAGAGACTCCTCCTCTTCTTCCTCTTCACTTATGGGAGCTTCTGGAGGTTCTGAAGGCCCTGGTTGAATCCCCGCCTCTGGCCCCACATCTTCTCCAGCCTCCTCATTGTCTGACTCGAGTGCCAGCTGCACAGGCTGCTGGTGCAGCACCACACCAGCCTCCTTGCTGTCTGAATCAGCTACTAGCTGCACAGGCCGCTAACGGCCCACAACACTTAGTGGACAACCAGATAAATATGAGCTAGCCATGTGCAGCGGCAGCCAAAAAAGCCAACACAATCCTAAATTGCATGAACAGAGGGATACCATCAAGATCAAGGGAGGTACTAATACCACTCTATAAAGCCTTAGTAAGACCACACCTAGAGTTCTGCATCCAGATCTGGTCACCACACTGTAAAAAAGATGTTGAGACTCTAGAAAGAGTGCAGAGAAGATCAACCAAGATGATAGGGGCAGTGGTGAAATCCAAATTTTTTTTAATACTGGTTCTGTGGGTGTGGTGTGGCTTGGTGGGCGTGGCAGGGGAAGGATATTGCAAAATCCCCATTCCCATCCCACTCCAGGGGAAGGATCCTGCAAAATCTCCATTCCCACCCCACTCTGGGGCCAGCCAGAGGTGGTATTTACCGGTTCTCCAAACTACTCAAAATTTCCGCTACCAGTTCTCCAGAACCTGCTGGATTTCACCTCTGATTAGGGGACTGGAGGCTAAAACATATAAAGAATAGTTGCAGGAACTGGGCATGGCTAGTCTAGTGAAGAGAAGGACCAGGGAAGACAGGATAGCAATATTTGAGGGGCTTCCACAGAGAGGAGGGGGAGTCAAGCTATTCTCCAAAGCACCTGAAGGCCAGAGAAGGAATAACGGATGGAAACTGATCAAGGAGAGATTCAATCTGGAAATAAGGAGAAATTTGAGTGCGTTGGCATTCAGACATTATAAATGAAGCTCTCCCTTTTTCCTCCACGCAGTCATAAAACGGTTTATACCCATTCCTATATAAATGTTTTGATGCAATGATTTGTCTTTCAGGGAATCCGTCATGTGGATCACTTCGGATTCATCTGCAGAGAGCCTTCCAAGAACAGAGGCTTCCATTTTGTGTGTTACGTATTTCAGTGTACAGATGAAGCCCTGGTAAGGACTCGAAAATAGCAATAGCGCTTAGATTTATATGCCGCTTTACAGCCCTCTCCCAGCGGTTTACAGAGTCAGCGTCTTGCCCCCAGCAATTTTGGGTCCTCGTATTTACCGACTTCGGAAGGATGGAAGTCCGAGTCAACCGTTGTGCCGGTCAGGATCAAATTGCTGGCAGTCGGCAGAATTAGCCTGCAATACTGCATTCTAACCACTGGGAAGGAAGGGAGAGAGGGAGGGAGGGAAGAGGGAAGAGGGAAGAGGAAAGAAGGAAGGAAGGAAGGAAGGAAGGAAGGAAGGAAGGAAGGAAGGAAGGAAGGAAGGAAGGAAGGAAGGATTAGCAATAGCACTTATATACTGCTTCACAGAGCTTCACGGCCCTCTCTAAGTGGCTTACAGAGTCAGCATATTGCCCCCAATAATTTTGGGTCCTCGTTTTTACTGACCTCGGAAGGATGGAAGTCTGAGTCAACCTTTTTTTTTTTTTTTTAATTTGATTTATATGCCGCCCTTCTCCGGAGACTCAGGGCGGCTTACAATGTGCTCAGCAATAGCCTTCATCCTTTTGTATATTCATACAAAGTCAGCTTATTGCCCCCACAAACTGGGTCCTCAATTTACCTACCTTAGAAAGGATGGAAGGCTGAGTCAACCTTGAGCCTTGGTGAGATTCGAACCTGCAGTAATTGCAGGCAGCTGGTGTTAATAACAGGGTGCTTTAGACCACTGTACTACCTGACCTTTGAGCCGGTCAGGATCGAACTGCTGGCACTTGGCAGAATTACCTTCAATACTGCATTCTAACCACTGCGCCACCGTGGCTCAAAAGCTGGCAAAAGGACTAGCAGAAAAGTCCAGAACTTTGATTTTCTCTCCGTCTCTCTGTCTCTCTCTCCCCCTCCCTCTCTCTCTCCTCTTCCCTTCTTCCCTCCCTCTTTCTCTTTTAGGTGGATGAGATTATGATGACCTTGAAACAGGCATTCAGTGTGGCGGCCATCCAGCAAAATTTCAAATCCCAGCTGCAATTCTGCGATGGGTGTCCTATGCAAATTCTTCATAAACTCTGTGAAAAAATAGAAGGTAAGGAAAAAAAAAAGCCTGTTTAATTTTTAGGGTGTATATAATTGCATCATTGTATAGATAAGGATGAGTGGTGCGGTGGCCTAGAGGTGGACTCTCGCCTCACAATCAGGAGGCTGTGAGTTCGATCCTAGGTAGAGGCAGATATTTCTCTCTCTGGGCACAATGAGAATATATCTGCCGAACAAAACTCCTCATTGGCGACAGGGAAGGGCATCCGGCCAGTAAACACTCAGCTCCATTCAGTTGCCCAAGACTCCACCCCGCAAGGAATTACAGGGTCTTTAAAATAGGATGATGATTGTAAAGATAAGGATGTCTTGCAGCCAAAACAAACGTAAATCTTAATTTGCTGCTATCAGACCAAAGAGCCAATTGTTTCACCCATCCACAACTCCATTTTGTGAATTTCGGGTGACCAAATATTCTCTAAAAGGCATGATGCTGACTTAATGTTGATCTGTTTATTTGTTAGGGACGCATCCTTCTAAAACTAAGTTGGAACTGCAGAAACATTTAACAGCACTAAATAACCAGGAGCAAGCCGAGATCTTTGAGGAAGTTCAGGTAACTGCCGGTATATATTTCTTTTCTGGGGAGGAAAAATAACATTTTCTAAGTTGCGTTGATCATTTGTGCCTCTTAGCAGGAGTTGCGTTAAAATCAATGGAAATTGCTTGCACAGGATTAAACAACATCGGTTGATTATAGAATTCAGCAAGATTATGTCATTTGCTAAGTGTGACTTGTCCATACATTATTTTTTTAAACTTCACAATAGTTTTTGGGAGGGAAAAAAATTGGCCAAAACATTTTGCTTTATGTTGGGTCGATGCAAATTTTTGCAGCATTGATGGCCCCTTATGTAGGAAAAAAATTAAAAAATAACAGGCATGTGATTACGGTTATACATTTTTGGAGTCAACTAAATGAACATTGCCTTTAGAAGTAAGGGAGATTTGCTTGGCCATTCACTTCTCCGAATGACAGGATAATGAAAGCTAATTGAAATAAATGGTTTCATAATTCCGGCGATATATTGTGAAATTGATACGTCCAAGTCGTTTATGGTACAGGTAGTCCTCAACTTACGACCACAATTGAGCCCAAAATTTATGTTGCTAAGTGAGACATTTGTTAAGTGAGTTTCCCCCCCCCATTTTACCAACTTTCTTTCCACGCTTGTGAAGTGAAACATTGTAGTTGGTACATTAATAACCTGGTTGTTAAGTGAATCTGGCTTCCCTGTTGATTTCGCAAAAAGGGATCACGTGACCCCGGGACACTGCAACTGTCGTAAATATGAGTCGTAAGTGTGAAACCTGGCCACAAGTCCCTTTTTCGGTGCTTTTTCAGCGTAACTTTGAGCGGTCCATAAATGAACCGTTGTTAAGTCGAGGACTACCTTTGTTCGCAGCCATTTGGTGATGCGACGAGTTAAGAGAATTAAGCTCTCCTCTTTTTTCCTTGTTTGTAGAAAATAAGGCCAAGGAATGAACAGAAGGAGAATGAACTAATCATCTCTATCCTGAGAAACATGTATGAAGAAAAACAGAAAGACCACATTCACCTTGGGGAAGTTAAACAGGTCTGCAATTTCCTTTTTCCGATATTTGTTTTGAAAGACAGATGGGGAAAATGTTTTCTAACAGCAATCGTGTTAGGAGAGCAGGACTCAGTTTAAAAAAAACGAACAAAAAACAAAACAGGGGCTACAACTTTTGGGGAAATAGTTGCAAATAATTTAACAACCGGTTCTCTGCCCTAATGACTGGCTGGGTGGGTGTGGCTGGGGTGGGTGTGCCCAAGATGGGCATGGGCAGGGGGTGTGACCGGTGGTGGGACTTGAATAACTTAACTGGTTCTCTGGTTGGGTAGGCGTGGCCGGTTGGTCATGTGACTGGGTAGGTGACGTCAGTCAACATACCCAGCCCCGCCTCTCGGCCACTTGCCTCAAAGGCAGAGGGAGGATTCAGCCGGTTCGGGCTAATCCCACCACTGGCTGGCCCTGCCCTGTTTTTCGGCCTGTTTTTTGGCTTTTTTTCAGGCTGTTTTTTGGGCCCTTTTTGGTCATTTTTCAGGCTGTTTTTTTGGGTCCTTTTTGGCCATTTTTCAGGCCGTTTTCAGGCTGTTTTTCAGGCCAAAAATGGCGATCCCGTTGCAAACTGGTAGTAAAGGTAAGTAGAACCCACCCCTGGTTCGATCTCTGATCGGCTAAGTTTTCTTAAATTGCCTGACAATGACTTCTATTTTTTTTTTTTGTATGCTGCTGCTGCTGATTGTATAACTGTGCCAAACAGTTGCCAAGAAAATGACCAAATGGGAATGACTTAAACTATCTGGAGTATATTCTGAAGTCTTTTACATTTTTCAGCAGTTTTTCTATTACAAAAATGTCTCCTGGGAGCGAACACTTTTATTATTATTATTTTTTGAAGGGGTTCCTGTTGATTTATTTTTATTTTCTTTTTCAAATACATTTGTTATCTTAACGTCCTAGACCGGGCAGTCCTCTGGAGAAGCCGTGGGAAACGAAATTCCGAACAACACAACTCGGTTCAAGCTTGACATGCTCAAGAGCAAAGCCAAGAGGTCGCTTACAGAATCCTTAGAAAATATTTTATCTCGCGTAAGTCTCTTTTGAATCTCTTGAAATCCGACGTCACTGTGTTGGCCGTTGGCATCCGAGTGATGAAAAATGTATTTTTGCACTAAAATAAACAACTATATTTAAAACTAAACACGCACCTAGGCATGGGCTTACAACGATGGGAATTGTTATGGTCCTGCGGAGCTGGCAGCAGAGTCAGACAGTGAGGAGGCTGGGGAGGAACATGGGCCAGTCCTGGAGTCTGGGGAAGGCTCAGACGAGGGCTCTGCATCAGAGGCAAAGATGGGGCCTGGGCCATTTGGGAGTTATGTACGGACTCCGGAGCCTCCAGAGTCGGACATCAGAGAGGCAGAGAAACAGGAGGAGCCTGTTCCTAGTGCATGCATGCGCAGAGCTGCCAGAAGGCAAGAACAGTTAAAACAAAAGGGGCAACTCAGGAGTAAGGCTTGGAGATGATTGGCCCCTCCCATAAGACATAAAGGAAGAGCAAAGGCACGTGGACCTTTGCAGGAAGCAACATTGTGGACGGTGTCGGTTTGTACTTTAAAGCTCCGTTTTTGACTCTGTGTTTCCGTGTGGCCTGGCCAAGATACTTGCCAATGAGGTCTTTGGCAGCCTGTCAAAGAAGATGAAGGTGGGTGTTTACCAGCCTTATCCGAAGGACTGTGGCAGACTTCTGTTGGACTATTTATAAACTCTTGGTGATTCAGCATGAATGAAAGGAATTCACAGCCGTTAAAATTTTAAAAAAGGGGTTTTGGGACTAATTGTTTGCTTTTTACTATATTAGGAAGCCTAGGTCAGAACAGGAATAATGAGTGACATATTACGAGTATCCATCGGCGAATACACAGCCCACTCTTTTAATGGGAATTCAGACTAATATTTGGTCATTTTCAATACTTCAGACTTTTCGATCAAGTGTCGTGAGGAAAAAAAATGCAAGTACAGTACAGCTAGTCCTCCACTTACAACAGTACATTTAGTGACCGCTCAAAGTTAACAACAGCACTGAAAAAAAGTGACTGAGGACCGCTTTTCACACTTATGACCGTTGTAGCATCCCCATGATCAGGTGGTCAAAATTCGGATGCTTGGCAACTGACTCGTAGTTATGTCTGTTGCTGTGTCCCGAGGTCATGTGATCCCCTTTTGCGACCTTCTAACAAGCAAAGTCCATGGGGAAACCAGATTCACTTAACAACCGGATTACTAACTTAACAACCACAATGATTCACTTAACAACTCTGGCAGGAAAAATCGTAAAATGAGGCAAAACTCATTTAACAACTGTCTTTCTTAGCAGTGGAAATGTTGGGCTCCATTGAGGTCATAAAACGAGGACTACCTGTAATAGTCAGCGTATTCTTAGCTCACTCCCAAAATTAAATTTAATAATGATCACAGCACCGCTAGAATCTTTTTATGCATTACATTTATGCATTACAAGGAATGCCTTTTGTATGCATTTTCCTGCTTCTGTGTATATCTTTATAATTTTAAATACATATAATAATACGAGGGTTTTCTTGGCAGGGAAATAAAAGCAAGAGCCTACAGGAAACTTCTGGAAGTATTGATTTGGATAGCTCCTTATCCAGCACGCTCAGTACTACAAGTAAAGTAAGTGAATTGTATGTTGTAAAACCAGCACAAGCAATGGAATAGTTCACTTTACAATTTTCTTTCATGAAATGTTTAGCCTCCGATAAATTCCTGCCATAATTATTGTATTTTATTTTTAAAGAGCGAAATCATTTGATCCTAAATGTGCTGCTAAGCCTGGAAAATATGCTTAGGTATTTACTTACCATATGTACATCTGAATAATTACTCAGTACCGATAGGCAAGAAAATACAGCTAGTTAGTCCTCGACTTACAGCAGTTCGTTTAGTGACCATTCAAAGTTACAACGGCACTGAAAAAAGGGACTTAGGCAGAGGTGGTATTCAGCTGGTTCGGACCAGTTTGCCCGAACCGGTAGCGGAAATTGCGGGTGGTCTGAAAACACCCCGGAAAAAGGCCTCAAAACAGCCTCAAAACAGCCCCAAAACAGGCATGTGTACACGAGCTAGGTGGTCTTCGGGTTTACGGTGTTCCAACATGCACACATGCACATACATACATGCCCGTTCCGGTTTGGGCACTCTGTGCCGAAAAGGTTTGCCATCACTGGTGTGAGGTAAAATAGATGATTGGTTGGAAAAACTGATGGAGCCATCAGAGGTGACTAAATTGACTGCTTTAATCAAAGAAACATACCCACTTGGAAACCACTTCTGGACTTTGTGCTCGAGGTGGAAAGAAATGGAAACTTTGATTTGGGTTGTGCTGCTTAGATCGTTCACTGTTTTGCTTCGTTCGACAGGAAACATCTGCCGGAGACCAGGAAAACCACTTCCCCTCAGACAGCCCTCTAAAACCCAATGGATCGGTGGACAATCTTGACCTTCTCTCGACCGCATCCGACGAACCATCTGAAGAACATCCTGCCCAATCAGCCTATCAGGCCTTCAGAAGGCGAGCTAACACCCTGAGCCACATGCCGTTGGAAGCCCAGGAATCGTTTGAATCTGCTGAAACCTCTCCGTCTGTTTCGCAAAGGAAACTTCTGAGGTATCATTCCATGACCACAGAGACGCCAAACCAGCAAAAGTAAGATTCTAGCAGGGGGAGGGAGAGGCATGGGGAGGAAATGTTTACAGGTATGTCCACCTTAGGCAAAGGAGAAGGTCCTTGGGATTCATTCTTTGTCATAACCGCAGCATGGATAATCTGAGATGTTGTTGTGACTCAGGCCCAAGTAGGTATTATCAGACGCAATCAGTTCTAAACAAACAGATTTTATTAGAACAGCTGAGAATTAACTCATTCTCAGCATAGTCCAAACTAATTCAAAACAAATTCTTCATAACACAATTCTTCAGCCTTATCACCAACCTTGGTCTAATTAGGCAACCTGCCAAAGGCTTTTCTTGGCAAAAGTTCAGAAGCAGAAGACGCCGACAAGAAATAAATGCAGCAAGACAAGAAACAAATCTATCAACGTTGTTTTCCGAAAAAGAGCCCAAGAGCCGTTGTAGGTCTTTTAAGCTTTATGGGAGGGGCCAATCATCTCCTGACCTTACTCCTGAGTCGTCCTTTCTGCTTTAGCTGCTCTTGCCTTCTGGCAGCTCTTCTCATGCATGTACTAGGAACAGGCTCCTCCTGTTCCTCTGCCTCTCTGCTGTCTGACTCTGGAGGCTCCGGAGTCCGCACATCACTCCCCGATGGCCCTGGCCCCATCTCTGCCTCCGACGCAGAGCCCTCGTCCGGGCCTTCCCCAGCCTCCAGGACTGGCCCACGTTCCTCCCCAGCCTCCTCACTGTCTGACTCCACTGCCAGCTCCGCAAGCTGCTGGCGGACCACAACAGATGTTGAGATCAGAGGTGGTATTCAGCCAGTTCGGCCCGGTTCGTGCAAACTGGTAGCAGAGACTCCAGGTGGGCCCACCCACCCATCCTGATATAATGCAATCCTATTTAGCCACGCTTTTTAACTCGGGCATATGCACGGAAGGCACACACGTGCAAAGTGAGTGTGCACACGCGGGGCGAACCGGTAGTGAGAAAATTTGAAACTCACCGCTGGTTGAGATGATTTAACAGCATCTGCTTTCCATGGGAATGTGCTTTATGAATGCAACTTCTAAGTCATCTTTATTAATGATTGAATTCGTTACCCTTATTAACTATTAATTGGGTGAGGGAGCAGGCAGCCGTCTTTTGTGATTTTGGACATAGGATGATGATTAAGAGGATTTATTACTCATGTCTATATACAACAGTCTACTCAACTAACAGTCAGCTTTTCAACCCCCGGTAGGTCAGCCATGGGTAAATCCAAGAAAAGAAAAGTTTCAGAAGAAAACAGAAAGTTTAATTCAACTAGATATGCTAGTTTTGTGGCCACTCAAGAAATAGTCAGACACGGGAAGGGTTTTGTGGCTCCCGGTGTTTTCTTTTCTGTGGGAAATGGGTCCAAATGGCTCTTTGAGTGTTTAAGGTTGCAGACCCCTGACCTGGACTGATATATTTGAGTTATTTATGAAGCCAAAATGTATTTTTTTTTTAAAATTTGATTTATATGCCGCCCTTCTCCAGAGACTCAGGGCGGCTTACAATGCGCTAAGCAATAGCCTTCATTCTTTTGTATATTTATACAAAGTCAGCTTATTGCCCCCACAATCTGGGTCCTCAATTTACCTACCTTAGAAAGGATGGAAGGCTGAGTCAACCTTGAGCCTTGGCGAGATTCGAACCTGCAGTAATTGCAGGCAGCTCTTCTTAATAACAGGGTGCTTTAGACCACTGTACTACCAAGGCTCTATTTGGAGGAATAGGTTTTCAGGAAAGAGAAGCTGATAAATTTCTAGTCCAAAATCTACCTATGTGATGCCGAAAGATAATGCAGTGAAGAAGCTTCTGGAACCAAAGACTGGAAGTATAGGTAGTCCTTGACTTATGACCACAATGGAGCAACTGTTAAGTGAATCACTGCAGTTGTTAAATTAGTCACACGGTTGCGGAATGAATCTGGCTTCCCCGTCATCTTTGCTTATCAGAAGGGTCACAAAACGTGATCCCTTGACCCCGGGACACTGCAACTGTCATCAGTACATGCCAGTTGCCAAGCATCTGAATTTTTGATTATGTGACGATGGGGTCGTAAGTGTGAAACAATGCCCCAAAGTCACTTTTTTCCAGTGCCTTGGTAACTTTACCAGTCACTAAATAAACAGTTGTAAGTCAAGGACTGCTTGTATATAGGTTACTCCTTGCCCTCCTTTTTATAAACTAGCAAACTGTGAAATTGTGTTTGACGGGATAAATCTGTGTTTGGTTGGACTGACATGCAATTTCGTCCTCCTCTGCATAATATTTTTGTTATCATCGCATGTGGAATGCAAAGTTAACGCAACCACATCCTTTCTTCACGAATTGTTTTTTATATATATATATATATATATATATATAAATTTTTATTATAATTCAAAAAAACAAAAACAAATGTATAATAGTTTTTCTATCATGGTGTAACATCACCAAAATATCCATGTATACACCAATAATCAGAAAGTAAAAATAGAAACTATTTACAGATTCTTATATACAAATTTACATTTCCAATACTTATTGATTACCATAATTATACCATCGTCTATAATTATAATCCAACGTTACCCTTTATCTCTCTCCCATCGTTTCTGGATCCAATCATACCACATGTTCCAACTACTATAAAAATCTGAGTCTCTTTTACCCTTGATCAGTTTTGATCAAGGACTCCGTCGGACTCCGCTTTCCATGATTTTATAAATTATTTTTGAGTCCGTTGGTAAGTCCTCATTCTTCCATTCTTGTGCGAATGCCAGTCTCCCTGCAGTGATTATGTGTAGCATCAGATACCATTTAGTCAATCCAATATTTGTGGGTCTAACCCCCAACAAAAAGGTTTCAGGTTTCAGTTCCACTCTACAGTGTGTAATTTCAAGCAACCATCATCGTATTTTCATCCAATATTTAGCTGCCAGCGGACATGTCCACCATTGGTGGAAGTAGGTTCCATTGCTATGCCCACATTTCCAGCACTGTTATTTTTTTCCATATCGACATAACCTTCCTCTGAAATACGGGCAATCCTCAATTTACAACCACAATTGAGGCCAACGTTTCTGTTGCCAAGTGAGACGCTTGTGAAGTGAGTTTTGCCCCCATTTTGTGAGCTTTCTTGCCACGGTTGTTAAGTGAATCACTGAACTTGTTAAGTTAGCGACACGGTTGTTAAGCGAATCTGGCTTCCCCCGTTGACTTGGCTCGTCGGAAGGTCGCAAAAAGGGATCACGTGGCCCAGCAACCGTCATAAATACGAGTCCGTTTCCAAGCATCCAAATTTTGATCTCGTGACTGTGAGGATGCTGCAACGGTCATAAGTGTGAAAAACGGTCATCAAGTCACTTTTTTTCAGTGCCGTTGTAACTTCAAACGGTCACTAAACAAACCGTCGGGAGTTGACGGCTGCCAGTAACTGATAGCTGTTCTGGAAATGCTGCAAAAGTGGATGTAAGCCAACGTGAATTTAATTTCTCGGCAAACGATAATAATAGAAAAAATCAAAAAAAGACATGCCCAGGATAAATTGTTACCAGTAAAAAGGAAATGAAAAGAGGAAGGTGAGAATTCTGAAATAACGACGTTTCATTGTCCTCTTTTTGAACTTCGTCTCTAGTCTTCTCCTTCTAATGCCAGATTTTATCACAATGGTATTTACCAACTAGATAGGGCTTGTTCAGTAATAGCGGAGCAATTTGTTAGCCTTTGAAGTCAGCTTCTTAGATGTTAGAGAAGCAGCTTCTTATTTTGGACGTGAAGTTGATTTTGCTTTGGTTTTGTGTCCAGCGTAAAAGAGATGTTTGCATTTTATTTATTTATTTATTTATTTAATTTTTTATACCGCCCTTCTCCCGAAGGACTCAGGCGGTGAACAGTCAAAATAAACATATATAAAAATGTGAATAGAAGCAATAAATAATAATTAAGTCAATTTGGCTTATCAGTTAAGTTAAGATCTTCAGAATAAAATTTACACAATTAGGAAAAGGAAAGAAAAAATGAATTATGCCATCCCGGCTTGGTGAAAGAGGAAGGTCTTAAGTGCCCGACGGAAAGTACGAAGATCTTTTTTTGATTTTGCTTTCCTTTGTTTAAAATTCTTGAAAGCTCTCGTTCATGTGCCGGACAATTTGTTTCAAACCCATACTAGGCCTGGTGAGAGAAAATATATAGAGTTTTATGCAGGTGTGGGCTTCAAAAATTTGAGCAAGGGGTTCTCTGCACGGTTGCTGGGTGGGTGTGGCCATGGTGGGTGTGGCCTAGTCAGCCTCCTCCACCACCAGGGGGTGCGTTTTTGCCCTCCCTGGGCTCCGGAGGCTTTTCTCGAACCTCCGGGAGGGCAAAAACGGCCTCCCCAGGCTCCAGAGGCCCTCTGGTGGCCGGAAACAGGTAGGCCTGTTTTTCGCCCTCCCCACATGCCCTACACTGAACCTGCATCCAAAATGGGCTGCGTGGGGACTCCTGGGAGGGGCAGAGTGGAGTGGACGGGGCCAGCCAGGAGTGGGATTTGGGGGTTCTCCGAACTGCACAGAATCTTAGCTAGAGGTTCTCCCGAACCCTTACGAAGCCCCAGCAGCCTACCCCTGGTTTCATTTGAACTTCATCTATGTTCTATTAACAGATGAAAAACTCTAGTTAAATAAACATGCCACAACTCAATATATTGTGTCAAGGCTTCGGGGCAGCTGTCCCTATTTTTGTCAGAAAAAGGATGAGACTAGACTAGACTAGGAATAAAGCAGAACAGAACAAGAATAAGAATAGAATGCAGCATAGCATAGCATAGCATAGCATAGCATAGCATAGCATAGCATAACATAACATAACATAACATAACATAACATAACATCGAATCGAATCGAATCGAATCGAATCGAATCGAATCGAATTGAATTGAATCGAATCGAATCGAATCGAATTGAATCCCAAAGATGTTTTGTCAAGAGGTAACTGGAGTTTCTGTTTTTTCATTGAAGATGTTTCGCTCCTCATCCAAGAAGCTTCTTCAGCTCTGACTGGATGGTGGGGAATGGAAGGATTTCTATATTTATATTTACATGGTGGGGAATAGAAGGGACGCGGTGGCTCAATGGCTAAGACGCTGCACTTGCCAATCGAAAGGTCGGCAGTTCAGCGGTTCGAATCCCTAGCGCCGCATAACGGGGTGAGCTCCCGTGACTTGTCCCAGCTTCTGCCAACCTATCAGTTCGAAAGCAGGTAAAAAATGCGGTAGAAAAATAGGGACCACCTTTGGTGGGAAGGGAACAGCGTTCTGTGCGCCTCTGGTGTTTAGTCATGCCGGCCACATGACCACGGAGACGTCTTCGGACAGCGCTGGCTCTTCAGCTTTGAAACGGAGATGAGCACCGCCCCCTAGAGTCGGGAAGGACTAACACATATGTGCGAGGGGAACCTTTACCTTTATGATGATGGGTATATATATATATCTATAAAATGTCTTCAAAGAAAAACCAGTTGCATCTTGGGGGAAAAAAATAGCATCCATGGGACAACTTGGCATGTTGGAAGCTAGTTTTTGGACTTCCTTCCCCTGCATTCTTGCACCGTCTGGGGTTGCCTTTCGAACTCTACTAACAGCATGTTCAGCACGTACTTTGATATGCAGGATTGGTACGTAGTAGTGTCGGAAAGAAACTGGTCCTGGCGCTGTTGTTATATTTCAGACCGTCTTATCTCTACTCTGGTGTCTCACCAAGCTTTCCAAAGGTGAGCCTCTCAAGGGCTGGGAAACAGGTAGCTTTACCCTCATTTAAAAACCTGACGTCTGCCAAGCGTTAAAGCTGTAAGCAGCAATACCTGCTCCGTGCATTGATGTATTCTGACTACCTGTCTTCATTCTGACATCATCATCATCATCATCATCATCATCATCATCATCATTATTATTATTATTATTATTATTATTTAATCTTTAGTGGGATTCACAGCCTTTGAGGCTGGTTAATAGCTCAGCAGCTGGAGTCCTAACCAAGGACCTAGGAACTGTTAAGGTATCGTCGGAGGATGTAAGCTGTTCTGAGTAGGGTGGTTTTTTGTAGAGTCAAAATGTTCAAGTCCGGCAAATTTAGAATTTCTAAATAGTGAGGTAGCTCTTTGGGTATTGCTCCGAGAGCTCCAATTACAATCGGGACAACACACAATTTCTTTTTCCACAGTCGCTCAACTTCAATTTTGCAAGACCCGGTACTTTGTGATTTTTTCTTGCTGCTGCTTCTTCTTCTTCTTCTTCTTCTTCTTCTTCTTCTTCTTCTTCTTCTTCTTCTTCTTCTTCTTCTTCTCCTTCTCCTTCCTCCTTCCTCCTTCCTCCTTCCTTCTTCTCCTTCTCCTTCTCCTTCTCCTTCTTCTTCTTCTGGATCAGAATGAGAGGTTAAGCCAAGGACATAGATTTCAGTAAAAAGGCTTGAGAGTGCATCTTGATGCCACTTTCTGTGCAAATAGGGCCTATTCTTAGTTAAAGAACTTGAATGATATCTTTATTTTTACTTTCAGCCTTTCTGTGTGCATCTACTTTATTTGACCTTGCTTTTTTCCTTCCTTCCTTCCTTCCTTCCTTCCTTCCTTCCTTCCTTCCTTCCTTCCTTCCTTCCTTCCTTCCTTCCTTCTTCCATCCATTCATCCACCTCACCTCCCTCTCCTTCCTTCCTTCCATCTTTCCTTTTCACACTCTCCTTCCTTCCTTCCATCCATCTATTCTCCTTCTCACCTTTCCTTTCCCTTCCCCTCCCCTCCTCTCCTGCCTTTCCTTGTCTTCCTTCCTTTTACTTTTACTTTTCACCCTCTCCTTCCTTCCTTCCTTCCTTCCTTCCTTCCTTCCTTCCTTCCTTCCTTCCTTCCTTCCTTCCTCCATCTCACCTTACCTTTCCCTTCCCTTCCCTTCCCTTCCCCTCTCCTCTCCCCTCTTACCTTCCCTTGCCTCTCCTTGTCTTCCTTCCTTCCTTCCTTCCTTCCTTCTTTCCTTCCTTTTCCCTTCCCCTCCCCTGCCCTCTCCTCTTTTCTCCCCTCTTACCTTCCCTTGCCTCTCCTTGTCTTCCTTCTTCCTTCCTTCCTTCCTTCCTTCCTTCCTTCCTTCCTTCCTTCCTTCCTTCCTTCCTTCCCTTCCCTTCCCTTCCCTTCCCCTCCCCTGTTCTCTCCTCTTCTCTCCCCTTCCCTTGCCTCTCCTTGTCTTCCTTCCTCCCTCCCTCCCTCCTTCCCTTTCTTCCCCTTATAAAACCTGACCAGGGCTGCTAGCAGCTCTAAGCCTTCTGCCAGTCAGGCCTCACCAGCTGCTGCCCTGCATCCTCCAGCTCGACTTCCGTCCTCAGCCTCCTCACCCAATTTCTTCAAGCGCCTTAGGCATAGCTCAAGCGGAGAACAAGGCAGGCAGGCCATGCCGAAGAGGTGAGGAGAGAGAGAGAGATAGTGTGTGTGTGTGTTTGGCATTGCAAAGAGAAGTCATGAATTAAACCAAAATAAGTCAATAGTTTCAGAACCTTGGAAAAATAACCCTTATCTTGCTACTGTGATGTAGCTCTTGGTTATGAGTCAACCACCGTATTTTTCGGAGTATAAGATGCACCTTTTCCCCCCTTAAAAGGGGGTGAAAATTTGGGTGCGTTTTATATACCAAATGTAGCCCCGCCCACCCACTCAAGGCCCCCACCCTTTGGCCTCTGCATCCCAGCAATTTACCTCCTTGCAGCAAGCAGCAAGAAGAAGCAGCCCGTTTCAGCTTCAGCACAGCCTAATTAGCACAAGTTGATTGTCCATTGCATCGGCCTCCCGACTCTCAGCTGTTTCAGGCTGCAGGGATTGCCATTGCCTATTGCTGGGCAGCCCTCTGCTGCTTGCTGCAAGGAGGTAAATTGTTGGGAGCAGATTCTTTTTTTTCTTGTGCTAATCAAGCTATGCTGAAAACGAAAATGAAAGTAAAGCAGGCTGTTTGCTGTTTGCTGCAATGAGGCAAAATTGCTGGGAGGCAGAGGCAGATTTCTTTTTCTTGTTTTCCTCACCAAAAAAGGTAGATGCGTCTTATAGTCCGGAGCATTTTATACAGTGGTGAAATATAAAATTTGTTACTACTGGTTCTGTGGGCGTGGCTTGGGGGTAATGTAACTAGGTGGGCGTGGCCAACTTTTTTTTTTTTTTACTTTTAAAAGCCTTTTTTCTACAACCTCTTCGGCCGAAGAGGTTGTAGAAAAAATGCTTTTAAAAGCCTCTGACGATCCCAGCTGAGTTGCCTGATCGTCAGAGGCTTTTTTTCCTTTTAAAACATTTTTTCTATAACCCCTTCAGCTGAAGAGGTTGTAGAAAAAATGCTTCTAAAAATAAAAAAAAAGCCTCTGATGATTGCGTGGCTCAGCTGGGCATGGTGGGGGGCAGGGATTTTTCCTACCAGTTCTCCAAACCACCTGCCGCCATCGCTACCAGATCAGGCGATCCGGTCCGAACCGGGAGCATTTCACCCCTGGTTTTATACTCTGAAAAATACGGTAATTAATTACATGTAATCTAGGAAGAAATAAAACTTGGTGTGACTTTGACTAAGTCTTGGGTTGAAATATGCGTAAACTGAGCCGGTCACAAAGTTATTCTCATTTATTACACGCATATGAAACCACAATCCAAAATGACCCTTCTTGATTCACGTAATATGTGTCATTAATGTTAACACATCCTCAGTTAAAAAATTAAAACAAAAAAAAATATATTAGGACATCTTCAATAGATACAGGAAGAGTTTCTAGTACAGATACTCATCCTTTAACACCTGGAGTCTCGTCTTATGATATTCCTCTACGCTGCCTTCTTTTTAGCCTTGTTTTCAGTTTTTATAACACACTGTCCAAAGAAAAAGACAGAAATGGGAATTTCGTGGCCTTTCCTGAAAATGGAATGAGCCTCCAAGCAAGTTATCTAAAAAAAATATTATACAGCTGGCAGTCTTTGTCTTTGCTTTGTTTTCATTCCTATTGCATTTTTTCCTAATTTATTGCTTATTCCTTTCTCATTTGTGTTGTTCTCTCTTTTCGTGTCTGTTTTTTCCCCCGCCACGCTAAATTTCTCCCGTTTTGAGCCGCCTTTTTCAACTTTGCTCAGCATCTCCTACCGTTCTTCTCTCCAGAGAAAACTTCACACCTCCTCTTCCGTGCCAAATTTCTTAAAATTCCTGGCTCCCGTAGATGAAAATGTCACGTCTGACTTTAGGAAGTCCACCAGGTAGGTGGTGGACCTGCTACTTTCAATGGATCGCTGGTTGAGAAAGAGGACTTCAGACATGAGGGGGCATTTTAGAGGTTAAAGCGGGGCTGGGATTCAGCCGGTTCGGACCTGCTAATTTTACATCTGATTCGCTGAACCGGTAGTTGCAAGGACTGGCTGGCCCCACCCTGCCCACCCTACCCCGCCGCTCCTAGGAGACTCCATGCAGTGCATTTTGGATGCCAGGTAAGTGCAGCGCCCGCACGGAGAGTCTGGGAGGGTGAAAAACGGGCCTCCCGGAAGTTCTAGAAGTCTGGAAACGGGTCCGTTTCTGGGCTCCGGAGGCCAGGGGAGGCCGTTTTCACCCTCCCGGAGGCTTGAGAAAAGCCTCCGGAGCCTGGGGAGGGCAAAAATGCCTCTCCATGCCATGGTGCAGGAGGCCAAGTAGGCCACGCCCACCATGGCCACGCCCATCCAGCAACCGGGTAGAGAACCGGTTGCTAAAATTTTTGAATCCCACTCCTGGGTTGAAGTCATTGTGGTTCAAGGGAGAAAGAAACGTTTTGTCTTCAGATTGAGATCAGCTCCATGTTGTGTCCCTGGCCACAGCACAAAACTGGCTGGCTGTTGCTTTCTTCTACGATTTGGTCTAGAGCTGTGGGATTGTGTATGGAGGAAACCATGCCTGACCAGGTTTAGCTTGGTTTAGACGACAACTTCTGGTTGTCGTCTAGAAAGCTCTATATCAGGGGGTGTCAAACAAAGGACCTGCGGGCCGGATCCGGCCCACGATGTGGTTGGATCTGGCCTGCAAGGCCGTCCTGGAAAATGTAAGGGACCAGCCCACGTCGCTTCGGTCCAGTCTACCCAATGCGAAGAGGAAACATGCCAGGAGCTTGGGGACTGGCATTAAGGTGGCCACACTCACCCAGTTGGCCACGCCCAGTGAGTGGCATCAAGATGGCCACACCCACCCAGTTGGCCACACCTGCCCAGTCCCTCAAGGTCAGTCACAGCCCTGATGCAGCAGGGGTGGGCCGCTGGGGCTTCGCAGGTGTTTGGGAGAACCTCTGGCTAAGATTCTGGGCAGTTCGGAGAACCCCCAAATCCTACTCCCGGCTGGCCCTGCCCCGCCCACCCTGCCCACCCCTCCCAGGAATCCCCCCTCGGCCCGTTTTGGATACAGGTAAGTGCAGGGCATGCGTGAGACTCGGTGAGAGTGAGAAACAGGCCTACCGGAAGTTCGGGAAGGCCGGAAATGGGCCCATTTCTGGCCTCCAGAGGGCCTCTGGAGCATGGGGAGGCCATTTTCAACTATAGGAAAACCTCCGGAGCCCGGGGAGGGCAAAAGTGCCCTCTCCCCGCCATGGTGCAGGAGGCCGACTAGGCCACACCCACCATGGCCACGCCCGCCCAGCAACTGGGCAGAGAACCCCTTGCTAAAATTTTTGAAGCCCACCCCTGTGATGTGGCCCTCAATGAAATCGAGTTTGACACCCCTGTTCTATACAGTATTGCTCTGGGATATATCGAGAGCATCTTGCCAAGCATGACTCTACTTATCTAGTCATGAAGAAGGTTTGGGAGATCCCTGGGGAAGAGACCAAGCACCAAGCCTTCTTGATAAAGGCCTCCACGCTTTGGAATACTCTGCTGTAAGGATTATGTTTGGTTTCAACTCTCTTCTTGTTTTGAAAAAAGCTCCAGATACTGTAAGAAAAGGAATGACAGCGCCTAGGGTGGAGTCAAAAGAGGAATCAGCCTAGCGTCTCTAGTAGTCACAAAGGGACCAAGCCCAACCCATCTTGAATTTGTTAACTCTTAATTGACTAGGCCACGGGTGTCAAACATGCCGTGTCACGTTGCCGTCATGTGACGTATCGCAATGTTTTTTCCCCTTCGCTGAGCTGGAATGGGCGTGGCCTGCACATGATGTATCCAGCCTACCGGCTGCCACTTTGACACCCGTAGACTAGACTAATGTCACAACTAACCATCAATATTATTTTGGGTCTAGAGAAGGATTAACAGAATTAAAAGGGGTTGGATTTAGCGCACTTTTGTGGGAACGTACAGACTCTAGGCTGCTTCCTTTTTTGACTCCACCCCCAGGCGATGCCACTCCTCCTCCTCCTCATCCTACAGGTATCATTTTATTCTAACAGGACTTTGAAGCAGCAGAGTTGTTGGTCAACCATGTTTTCTGTCTGTCTGTTTGAATTATATTGTGGAGAATAAACAAAATAAATGTGTGTGTACCATAACTTTATTATGCATTATTGATTTTTGTGGTTTATCCATCGAAATAAGAGTATGCATTTAATTTCTAAGATTATGGAAAAATGGTTATGATTTGTCTTCGGTGCATAAGCTCTCAATGTACATAAAAAATATGTAATAAGTTATTTGCCAAGATTAGCACGATAGACCATCATTCTTAGCATAAATTAATTACAAATTAGAGTAAATGAATTAAGCATATTAATAATAAATAATCTCTAATCAGTTAATTAGAGATTAATTAGAGATTAGCATAAATTAAATGCCAAGTTTAGCATGATAGACCAATAGAAGCAATGCACGTGTTGTGTTAGCATTGTTTGATTTCTGGTCAACTGTCAATCAGAAAGATCAGCAATTCGGCGGTTCGAATCTCTAGTACTGCATGAACAGGGGGTTGGACTGGATGACCTCTAAAGTCCCTTCCAACTCTGTTACTCTGTTATCTGACTCTGGAATAATACATAGAAATGAGAGGCGAGTTTACATTATAGGTTTTTCAGGATGGAAATCAGAATATCATTCATAAACTCCAAAATCGTACAAAACACGAACGTTAAGGGAGATCCTGCCATTTTCAGACACTTATTTCTCAAAATATCCATGTGATAGTGCAAAGCCTTTGCACAAACACATCTTTATGTCACGAGAACAGTAACGATGAGCAGCAAGAGAGTTGGTAAAATATTATGGACCAGATTTGAAAATATGAGAATGAATGCTATATTATTCTCCACAGCAAGGGAAATTGAGATGGTTAAAATTTTTCTTTTAGCCAAATAAAGAGATTATATTTAATTGCATCCGGATTTTGTGCTTGCCATGAGAAAAAAAATATACGAAACTTTGATTCTGTTTCTGTAAATTAGACATGCTTATTATTGTTATAGAAATGGCTTGTGCATATTGCTGTGTAAAAGCAAAAAAAAAAAAGTTTCAGTTGTAATATTGTTAACTTGGAATGTGCCTTTTTTTTCTTTTTTCTTTTTCTCCCTTTATACTATACTCCGTCTTTTTCCCTTCCTCTCTTCTTACTTTTCCATGTTTTTTTTTCCTTTGTATTTTATACTTTGATAAACTACCGTGTTTCCCCGAAAATAAGACATGTACTGAAAATAAGGCCAAGCGTGATTTTTGGGTGTAAATATTTAATAAGCCCTAGTGAAGGGCGTGGCTAGCACCGGAGGCAGCCCTTCCCTTCCTCTGTCAGCTAATGACAGCTGGGCTCCTTAATCGCGACCTGCGGATCAGCTGAGCTGATCGGGAGCTGCCTCTCGTTCTCTCTCTCCCCAGCATTCTTGGCGCTCGCCTGTCTCCCATCCATTCATCCACCCATCCATCCCCCTCACCTGCAAACCCCTGCCCCGCTCACAAGAGAGCAGTCGCCCAGCACTTCTTGCCACATGGTGCCCACCCAGCATTAAGGATGGCTTCCTCTGCAGCTTCCAAACCCTGTCTGAAAGCCACTGGAAGCGGAGAAGATGCCGGTCGGGCCAGCCGTCTGCTGCCAAGTCTTCCGGCAGCCGGGGCAGAGTCTTCCGGCAGCCAGGGCAGAGAGGGAGCAAAGGGCTGCCAAGTGAACTGCAGCCCTGCATGGGGAGACTGTGCCGCTGCTGCCGCCATCCGAGCACTGAGGATGGCTTCCTCTGTGGCTCCCAAACCCTGTCTGGAAGCTACTGGAAGCAAAGAAGAAGCCGGTCGGGCCAGCCAGCTGCTGTTGAGTCTTCTGGGAGCCGGGGCAGCCGCATGGAGTTGGAACCATAGAGCAGGAAGCGCACTCCCAGAGTGACCACTACTGACGCAGAGTCTTTCGACAGTGGCCGCTCTGGGAGTGTGCTTCCCGCTCTATGGTTCCAACTCCATGCGGCTGCCCCAGCTCCCGGAAGATGCAACAGCAGGCAGCTGGCCCGACCGGCTTCTTCTCCGCTTCCGGTGGCTTCCAGTCGGGATTTGGAAGCCGCAGAGGAAGCCATCCTCTGTGCTTGGAAGGCGGCAGTGGCGTGGTCTCCCCATGTGTGCTGCAGCTCACTTTGCCCTTTGCCACTTCTCTGTCCCAGCTGCCAGAAGACTCTCTGCCCTGGCTCCCGGAAGACTTGGCAGCAGGCGGCTGGCCCAACTGGCATCTTCTCCACTTCCAACTTCTTCCAGCCAGGTGCTCACTGGCTTCGCCCACATCGACATGATGAGGCCTGGGAGGCGTGCAAGCAGGGGAGGGAACAGGTGCTCGCGCAGCTTGGCGCCTTCAGGCCGCTCGCGTTCTCCCCCCGCAGGAGGGGCGGGGCTTGATGGCGCATGGAGGGAGCCTCTCTCTGCCGGACCCCCCGATAATAAGGCCAAGCCCTTATTTCAGGGTTCAAAAGAAAATAAGACCCTGTCTTATTTTCGGGGAAACACGGTAATTAAAAAGTCGTAACTGCGAGCAGCAAGAGAATGTTATTTCTGAATATTTTTGACGATTTGAAACACCCAATATTGAGTCATTTCTGTCAAGAAGCTCATCGTTTACAGAAATAAGCCGGGTAATTTTCTCTTTTCCATTTGGATTTGCTGTCGAGACTCTTTAGAGCAGGGATCTCCAACCTTGGCAAACTTTAAGACTCGTGGACTTCAACTCCCAGAATTCCTCAGCCAGCTGGCTGAGGAATTCTGGGAGTTGAAGTCCACGAGTCTTAAAGTTGCCAAGGTTGGAGACCCCTGCTTTAGAGAAGTCGTATATTTGTTTCCTCTGAAAAAGCAAAAACAAAACATGTCTTGCAATGATAGCTAAAATAAATAAATTCTGTGACTTCTGATTTTAGAGATAACACATCTAAGTCCAAGGAAGCAGGTTTGGCCCCCGAGACCCCTGTGAAGGTTCGACGACATTCTTGGAGGCAACAGATATTTTTAAGAGTGGCGACACCCCAAAAAGGATGTGACTCTTCCGGTTGGCATGAAGGTAAAAATCCATCTGTAGTTAAAGGGAGGGTTTCAATGAATGTCACCAATGGAGCAGTGGTGAAATCTGAAACGGTTTGCTACCGGTTCGTTGGCCACGCATGTGCAGTGCATGCCAAATGTGCGCTGCGTGCATCTGCATGCATGGTGCGTGTTAAGGATATTGTTGTGTTACCAACCAGCAGAGTAAGTGCACAGAGAAACAGTACTGAGAGCAATGAATACAATACATACAAACTTGTTTAACAAAGCTTTTACTTTGTAGTGAAAAACAATTGCATAGTCTTTTAATCAATCCAAGTCTTTAGCCATTCAAATCAATCCGAAGTTACAGATATCTTCTTACCAAACAAACAGCAGTTGGTAATAAACAGCAATTCAATGCTGGTAACAAATCACGATGGTAGCATATCCATCCACGTCTTCACACACGACAGTAACAGTTCCAACAACAAGTCAAGCAGCAAGTCAAGCAATGATGAGAGCAAGTCCAACAATGACTATAGCTCGGCTTCATTCTTATATACAGTTTACACTAGTAATTATCCACTTAAGATAAGTGAAGTCAGCAGTGCAATGACTAACAGTACAATTATGATAATTGCAGTCAGCATTCAGTCAGCAGTCATTACAATGACTCATCAGTACAATTACTCAGCATTACATCTGTTACAGCATTACATAAAGTTACAGAATACATTTAAAGTTATAGAACACATATATTGCCTGGACAACTTGTTAGACTTACACCATATCCTAACAGTGCGCATCAAACGTGTGCTGTGCGTGCATGTGCAGTATGGACCAAAAGGAGACTTGGGTAAGTAGAACAGCGAGAGGGGGGGAATCAGCTGTGCCACGCGATTTAGCTTCGCTATAAAGCCGGATTTCCTGCTTTCTAGCAAAGCTAAACCGTGCAGCACAGCTGATCGTAGGAAATACCAGTTCGGAGCTTTTTTTTACTACCGGTTCACTTGAACTGATAGTTTTAATCATCACTACCAGTTCGCCGGAACAGGAGTGAACTGGTAGCATTTCACCCCTGCAATGGAGGCTGGTCATTTCTGGCAGTTTTTAGTGCAACCGATTAAATTGGAATTACCAACTTCGAAACACAGAAAATACTGTCTCTTGCAGATAGACCTTGACTTATAACCGTTTGTTTTAGTGACCATTTGAAGTCATGGCGGTCCGGAAAACAGCAACGTTCCGTAGAACTGTGGGAATGTTGTTGCTTTAACTGAAGGGGGAAAAAAGGATCTGTGTATAATACAATTTTGGAGGCCAATGAATCCAATTTTACTTTACTTTCCCCCAGTAGAATAGACTGAATTAAATTTTAGCTAGCAGGAGCTCCATTTTCGCATTTTTTTTGTTTTCAAAATAAAAGTCACTGCCTGAATACATGACCAGCTTTGGAGGGATGTAGAAGGGGAAAAAAGTATATTATTCATGGCTCGGGAGTTTTCCAGTAAATATAATTTGGAGAGGAGGGGAAACGTTGATTATTTTTTTCCAATTAGCTGACCCTTCTCTCCGCCTGAAATCAAAATCAAAATGGGAAGTTTCATTGTTTTAAAGCATTGAGATCATGACTTTAAATTTGGGGTCACATTGAAATTGCAAATGGGGTACAAAAAAAGGAGAGGCAGAATAAAGTACTGTATATACCCTGTTGCCCCAAAAATAAGACATCCCCTGATAATAAGCCCAATCGGGCTTTTGAGCACATGCACTAAAATAAGCTCTCCCTGAAAGTAAGCCCTCCACAAAAATGTTTAAATACATGCGCAGCTGGTCCCTGCCATTTCTTCTGGTTTCCTCCACGCACCCCTAAATAATAAGACCTCCCCAAAAATAAGGCCAAGAGCTTATTTTGTGGTTCAAAATGATATAAGACAGGGTCTTATTTTCGGGGAAACACGGTAAAAGGAATAATAATTTAGGAAAATGGGTTGGAAGGGTCTTAGCTGCCACAGGAGAGTGTTACACTATACAGGTGGTCCTCGACTTACAACAGTTCATTTAGTGACCATTCAAAGTAACAAAGGCACTGAAAAAAAATGACTTTATGACCGTGTTTCACACTTAGGACCGCTGCAGCATCTTTAAAGTCATGTGATCAAAATTCAACTGACTCGTATTTATGACTGTTGCAGTGACCCAATGGTCTCCTTCTGTGGCCTTCTGACAATCAAAGTCAATGGGGAAGCTGGATTCACTTAACAACCGTGTTACTAACTTAACAACTGTGCCAAGAAAGGTCATAAGATGAGGCAAAACCCGCTTAATAAATGATGCGTTTAGCACCAGAAATTTTGGACTCAAGTTGTGGTCGTAAATCGAGGACTACCTGTACAATACTGGAGAAAATCAGCACTATGAAACATGATGCTTTGAGAGGGATGATTTTATTCCTTGTGTCTAATAGTCACACTTGGCCAAATAAAGTATTCAGATTCAAATGCATTACTATGTTTCCCCGAAAATAAGACCCTGGCTTATATTTTTTTTGAATCCTGAAATAAGCGCTTGGCCTTATTGTCATGCACTCAAAAACCCGATTGGTCTTATTATCAGGGGATGTCTTATTTTGGGGAAAACAGGGTACATACCAGGGTTGAAATGTAAAATGTGTTACTACTGGTTCTGTGGGCGTGGCTTGGTGGAAGGGTAATGTGACTGGGTGGGCGTGGCCAACTTTTTTTTTTTTTACTTTTCAAAGCATTTTTTCTAATGGTTTGAAAAGCCTCTGGCGATAAGGCAACTCAGCTGGGATCGTCAGAGAGGCTTTTTAAAAAATGTTTTGAAAAGCCTCTCTGATGATCAGGCGACTCAGCTGGGATCATCAGAGACAGCCAAGAGGTTGCAGAAAAAAATGCTTTGAAAAGCCTCTGAGGATCCCAGCTGAGCCGCGCGATCATCAGAGGCTTTTTTTTTTTAAAGCATTTTTTCATCGGAAGAAGTTGTAGAAAAAATGCTTTTAAAAGTAAAAAAAAAAAAGCCTCTGATGATCGTGCGACTCAGTTGAGCATGGGGGGGGCAGGGATTTTTGCTACCAGTTCTCCGAACCACCCGCCACCATCGCTACCGGATCGGGTGATCCGGTCCGAACCGGGATCATTTCACCCATGGTACATACATGTTTCACTTTAATTCACTAGATGGCACTCTTCATTTTGTTTGCAATTCTAGGGAAAAAAAATATTGGCTTATTCAGATTACATGCCCTGATATGGAAACAAATTTGTTGATTCCAAAATACCGTGGAATTTTTGTTGTTGTTTTGTTTTGTTTATTGTAATCTATCTTTTTTGGAATTTTGATGTTTACAGGAAAAAGGTAGGAAGCAAAACACAAATGACTGTCAAAGGTTTAACATGGCAGTAGAGCTTGGTTTATGTGGGGGAAAAAAATTGTGCAGTCTTTTGGATCTAGTTGCTGAGTTGAATATATTTTGCGGGGACAACTGAAAATCCAGCCCATAGAACTTGTTAAGTTCTGTGTATGAGTGGCGTTTGTAGAAAATTCTTAGCTAAACACAGAGTGATTCTGGGGTAAATATAAAGCTCACTACTGAGAAAAACTGTAAAATCTTGCATAAAATGACTCATGCCTTTGTCCCAAAAATGCTTTTTCAAAAGGCAACGGGGCTTTGTTTTTCCGTGAAGAAGTTTCCCTTCTCATCCAAAAAGCTTCTTCAGTTCTTCACGTCAGAACTGAAGAAGCTTCTTGGATGAGAAGCGAGATGCCTTCAAAGAAAAAACCCGAAAGTCCAGTTGCCTCTTGAAAAAGCACCTTTGGGACAACCATGACCTGAATGACTGAGGATCTCCAATGTATTTGCTACACTATTAGTAGATAAAAGGTCTGGGTCTTGTAAGATTTTCAGTTTCCTGCTGGCCATTCCTCTTTTGATAATTACTTTTCCAAGGCTAGGATTGATCTAGGACAGGAGTCAGCAACCTGCAGCTCTGGAGCCACATGTGGCTCTTTCACCCCTCTGCTGCGGCTCTCTGTCACTCAAAATATGCGTCACAACCACCAATGTGCGACACCCACTGGCACGCAATTTATTGAGTTTTTTAACCCCCGGTAGCCAACCATGGATAAATCCAAGAGAAGAAAAAAGTTTCAGAAGAAAACAGAACGTTTAATTCAACTACATATGATAGTTTTGTGGCTGCTCAAGAAATAGTCAGGCATAGGAAGGGTTTTGTGGCTCCCGGTGTTTTCTTTTCTGTGGGAAACAGGTCCAAATGGCTCTTTGAGTATTTAAGGTTGCAGACCCCTGATCTAGGAATTCCGACAAATCTTCAAATTAAATATATATATATTTTTCTCTTGTCTAATAAGATTATTCCGAACTGGGAGAATTGGCTCCTAGATCACCATTACAGCCGGTTTGTGAAGACGGTCCTTTCGGAGCAACCAAAGAAGACAGAAAAAAGACATCCAAGGAGTTGAGGGAACTTTGGCAAAAAGCTATTATCCAGCAGATAATCCTACTCAGGATGGAAAAGGAAAACCAGAAACTGCAAGGTAAATACCAAATCTCTCCGGAAAAAAAAAATCTGTATTTTTGATATTTGTACCAGGGGTAGGATTCAGCCGGTTCGGACCACTTCAGGCAAACCGGATGCTAATTTTACATCTGGTTAACTGAACCGGTAGTTGCAAGAACTGGCTGGCCCCGCCCACCCCACCCCACCCCTCCCAGGAGTCTCCACACAGCCTGTTTTGGATGCCAGGTAAGTGCAGCGCCTGCGCAGAGGCTCTGTGAGGGTGAAAAACGGGCCTCTCGGAAGTTCCAGAAGTCTGGAAACGGGTCCATTTCCGGCTTCCGGAGGGCCTCTGGAGGGCCTCTGGAGCCCGGGGGAGGCTGTTTTTGCCCTCCCGGAGGCTCAAAGAAAGCCTCCAGGGCCTGGGAAGGATGAACCCACCCCTGTCATGGTGCAGGAGGCTGAGTAGGCCACGCTCACCATGGCCACGCCCACCAACAACTGGGCAGAGAACTGGTTGCTAAAATTTTTGAATCCCACTTCTGATTTGTACCAAAGACACTAAAGAGGTCGCTTAAAGATAGCATGTTATGCATTGCTTGCTGTGCTTAATAATCCTGAGTTCTTTACCCACACTGAGTTTATTTTATCTTGATAGACACTTTGTTTATTTTATAAATGGCGGCTTTTAAGTCTTGTTCCTGGAAGGGCTGATAAGGGAGCTCAGCCTTCGTCTCCTTTGAACCCTTCAAAGGATGGGATTCTTTAGCTTCAAAGATATCGTCATCTTAGCATCTCTTAGCCGTCTCTTTTAATTTATTTTTGAAAACCTTCTCTCTTCAAGCATATAAATTAGATTAGATAAGATAGATACCCTGTTTCCCCCAAAATAAGACCCAGCCATAAAATCAGACCTAGCATGATTTTTCAGGATGCTTGTAATATAAGCCCTACCCCAAAAAATAAGCCCCAGTTCAGATCATCAGCCAGATAGATGCATTTAGTACCGTATTCCCTAACTAGAAAATAAGCCCTAATGTGTCTTTTGGAGCAAAAATTAATATAAGACCCGGTCTTATTTTTGGGGAAACACGGTAGATAAATTAGATAGATAGATAGATAGATAGATAGATAGATAGATAGATAGATAATGATAGATATAGATGATAGATAGATAATGATAGATATAGATGATAGATAGATAGATAGATAGATAGATAGATAGATAGATAGATAGATGAAAGATAGATAATGATAGATGATAGATAGATAGATAGATAGATAGATAGATAGATAGATAGATAGATAATGATAGATATTGATGATAGATAGATGAAAGATGGATAATGATAGATATAGATGATAGATAGATGATAGATAGATAGATAGATAGATAGATAGATAATGATAGATATAGATGATAGATAGATGAAAGATAATGATAGATATAGATGATAGATAGATAGATAGATAGATAGATAGATCGATAGATAGATAGATAGATAGATAGATAGATAAAAAGGGAGAGAGGGATGGAGATAGATAGATAGATAGATAGATAGATAGATAGATAGATGGATAGATAGATAATGATAGATATAGATGATTGATGAAAGATAGATAATGATATAGATGATAGATAGATAGATGATAGATAGATAGATAGATAGATAGATAGATAGATAGATGATAGGGAGGGAGATAGATAGATAGATAGATAGATAGATAGATAGATAGATAGATAGATAGATAGATATGGATGGAAATAGATAGATAGATAGATAGATAGATAGATAGATAGATAGATAGATAGATAGATAGATAGATAGATAGATATGGATGGAAATAGATAGATAGATAGATAGATAGATAGATAGATAGATAGACAGACCAAGAGCCTTGGTGACACAGCAGACTAATGCACTGTTAAAGTAACACCAGCTGCCTGTGATTACTGCAAGTTCAAATCTCACCAGGTTCAAGGTTGACTCAGCCTTCCATCCTTCCGAGGTAGGTAAAATGAGGACCTGGATTGTGGGGGCAATAAGCTGACTTTGTATAAAAAAAGAACACCACTTGGGGGGGGGGGCGAAAGCCCTACTAAGCAGGTATATACAAAAGTATGAAGGCTATTGCTTAACGCATTGTAAGCTGCCCTGAGTCTCCGGAGAAGGGCGGCATATATAAATCGAACTAATAAATAAATAAATAAATAAATAAATAAATAAATAAATAAATAAATAAATAAATAAATAAATACATACATACATACATACATACATACATACATACATACATACATACATACCATGTTTCCCTGAAAATAAGACCGTCTTATATTTTTTGGAACCCTGAAATAAGTGCTTGGCCTGATTTTTGAGGAGTTCCTATTATTTCGGGGCGCCTGGAGCAAGACGGGGCTCCTCTTGCCATCTTACCTGATTTCCAGCTTTGTCTCCCCAACCCTAACCAGAGGAAATGGCGGGTACCGGCTGCACGTTCATTTAAATATTTTCGGGGAGGGCTTATTTTTGGGGAAAGCTTATTTTAGCGCATGTGCTCAAAAGCCCAATTGAGCTTATTATCCAGGGAAGTCTTTTTTGGGGGAAACAGGATAGATAGATAGATAGATAGATAGATAGATAGATAGATAGATAGATAGATTGGTTAGGTTAGGTTAGGTTAGGTTAGGTTAGGTTAGGTTAGGTTAGGTTAGGTTAGGTAAGATTAGATTAGATTAGATTAGATTAGATTAGATTAGATTAGATTAGATTAGATTAGATTAGATTAGATTAGATTAGATTAGATTAGATTAGATTAGACAGACATTTGCAGAAAATATGTTGGTGGCCTTTCACAAGTGCGCTTGTCTAACCTGTCCTTTTTTCCCTCTTCTAGCTTCTGAAAACGATCTGCTAAATAAGCGCCTGAAGCTTGATTACGAAGAAATGACTCCATATCTCAAAGAAGTAATCTCCGTCTGGGATAAAATGCTGAACACGCCAGGAAGGTCAAAGATCAAGTTTGACATGGAAAAAATACACTCCGCTGTTGAGAAAGGTGAGGTCAACCGATTCCTTGAGGGATGCAAATATGTTGGCACTTTGGAAAGTGTGTTATTATCTTTTTAAACAGATGCAGTAGCTGTTTATCAGAATATAGTAATGATATTGAATAAATGTATCATGCTTTAAACTGTTAAGCATTATATTACTGGAGTAAAGGTGAGAGTTATGATGTTAGTTATGGCCAGAACTGCCGTGTTTCCCTGAAAATAAGACCTCCCCCCAAAAATAAGCCCTCTCCAAAAATAAGCCCTTCCCGAAAATATTTAAACACATGCTCATCAGGTCCCCACCATTTTTTCTGGTTAGGATTAGGTTGACAGAGCTGAAAATCAGGTAAGACGGCAAGAGGAGCCTCATCTCGCTCCCCGAAAATAAGGCCAAATGCTTATTTTGGGGCTCAAAAAAATATAAGACAAGGTCTTATTTTCGGGGAAACACGGTATTTAAAGAGGCATTTTCAGAGAGAGAGAAAATTCCTATGAATTCATAACTCTCCATTTACGGATCTTTTTCTAACTTCTTTGAGTTGGCAATTCCTTGATTGGGGTATTGTTTATTTCTTAATTGTTGATCTAATATTAATCTTGGTGTTAATCTCTGCTTATCGGACACATAGAGACACACAGAGATAAACACAGACATACCATTCAGAAGAGAGAATCCCCAAAAAATAATCCCAAAATAAAACAGAAAAACCAAAACAATGCTAATCAATACCCAGTTAAACAGAGATTGACACCAAGATTAATGCCAGACCCACAATCAAGAAGTAAACAATACCCCAATCAAGGAACTACCAATTTAGACAATTAATAAACCTTGATTAAAGGAACCACCAAGAAGGCTCCCACCAACTCTGACAGGGCAAGCCACATGTACATAAACAGAGAACGAACCCCACTCCCGTCTAGCACTGATGATATTACCTAGTTGGGTAATGAAATGTTTGCGGGAAAGCAATCAAGCTCAGAGGCCGCCAAGTACCCTACAGTCTTCCTCCTCTTCCTTCTCCTCCTCTCTGCAGACCCCTCTCCCTTCTACAACTGATAATGTTACCTAGTTGGGTAATGAAATGTCTGCGAGAAAGCTACCAAACTCAGAGAACACCGAGGATCTCACAGTCCTCCTTCTTCTCCTCCAACACCTCCTCCTCCACTACTTCCTCCTCCTCCTCCTCCTCCTCCTCTTCCAATCTCTCTCCCTTCTAGAACTGATAATGTTACTTAGTTGGGTAATGAAATGTCTGCGAGAAAGCCACCAAACTCAGAGAACACCAAGGATCTCACAGTCGTTCTCCTCCTCCTCTTCCTCCTCCTCCTCCTCCTCCTCCTCCTCCTCCTCTACTTCCTCCTCTTCCTCCTCCTCTTCCAATCTCTCTCCCTTCTAGAACTGATAATGTTACCTAGTTGGGTATTAAAATGTCTGCGAGAAAGCCACCAAACTCAGAGAACACCGAGGATCTCACAGTCCTCCTCTTTCTCCTCCTCCTCCTCTTCCTCCTCCTCCTCCACTACCACCTCCACCACCTCCTCCTCCTCTTCCAACCTCTCTCCCTTCTAGCACTGATGACGTTACCTAGTTGGGTAATAAAACATCTGCAAGAAAACCAACAAGCTCAGAGAACATCAAGGCCCTCACAGTCCTTCTCCTCCTCCTCTTCAAACCCCTCTCCCTTCTAGCACTGATGATGTCCCTTAGTATGGTAATGAAATGTCTACAAGAAAACAACGAAGCTCAGAAAGCACCAAGGATGCCAGAAGAGCAATATTCCTCTTAGCTCCTTACTGATGGCATGAACTGTCTGAAAGACATTCCAGGATAAATGAACTTATCCTAGCAGCATTTCAAGGCCATTCTGGAAGGCCATCCCCATTGAAAGCAATGATTTCCCTTTTTTAAAGCAGGGAGCTTGTACATACCGTACGTTGGTGTCTCATTCACTGCAAATCTGTTTTTTTTTCCCCCTTTGCTCTTAAAATCTTTTGAAAAGGAGTTCCTCGGCAACAACGGGGTGAGATATGGAAGTTTTTAGCAGAGGTGCACCAACTCAAGCACCCGTTTCCGACGAAGCAGCAGCCAAAGGACACTCCGTACAAAGAACTCTTAAAACAACTGACTTCCCAGCAGCATGCAATTCTGATCGATTTAGGTAAGTCTGCCCGCAAGCAAATCCGGTATTCAACTTGGAACGTTTTTGCATTTGCAAAAAAAGGGGTCATATTCAGAAGTGGTATTCAGCCGGTTCGGATCGGTTCACCCGTACCGGTAGCGGAAATCGCGAGTGGGCCCAGATACCCGCTCCGGCTCTATGCCATCCTATTTAGGCACGTTTTTGAGGCCGGGCACATGTGAAGAAGTTTCTTAGGGAGTGGTGCAGTGGCCTAGAGGTGGGGCTCTCGCCTCACAATCAGGAGGCTGTGAGTTCGATTCTAGGTAGAGGCAGATATTTCTATTATTGCAAAAGTTTTACAATTACATTTTCACCCCTTTTTCCCCCCCACCTCCCCCCCAAACTTCCCAACCTCCCTAACCCTCCCTAACCCTCCCCTCCCCCCAGACTTCCCTATAATATACTCATAATCATGAAGAACCCTAATATCACACTTATATATAAACTTGAGCCCCTCCCTCCCCTGTATAATTTTTCTCTTTATCTCATTACTTTAAAAAATTTCTAGTACATTGTTTTCAAGTAAAAGCTATTTGATACTTTCTAGTTTGATATTTGTTCTGAACATATTCAATCCACCTTTTCCATTCCCACTCATAAGTCTCTTGTGAACAGTCTTTTAAATATGCTGAAATCTTCGCCATCTCTGCAAAACTGGCCATCTTCAAAGTCCATTCCTCAATAGTGGGCAAAGCTTCATTCTTCCAGTATTTACCTATCAACAATCTTGCCGCTGTTATCATATACAATATCAATTTTGTTTCACCCAATGTAAAACCCTTAACTATACCCAATAAAAACAGTTGTGGAGAAAATTGAATTTTTTTCTTCAAAACATTCTGCATGACCCACCAAATTTTTATCCAAAAAGCCTTAACTTTCCTACAGGTCCACCAGACATGATAATACGTAGCATTCAAACATTCACATTTCCAACATTTTGGCTGAACATTAGGGTACATACATGACAACTTTTTGGGATCTAAATGCCATCTATAAAACATTTTGTAGAAATTTTCCCTCAGGTTCTGCGACTGTGTAAATTTAACATTCTGAACCCAAATTTTTTCCCATGTTTCCAGCATCACTGGTTCTTCAAAATTCTGTGCCCACTTAATCATACAGTCTTTAACTAATTCAGTTTCTGAATCTCTTTCTAACAAAACATTATAAAGCCTTTTGATATGCATTGGACCTTTCTCTCTTATATGTCTAACCAATTCTTCCTCATGCAACATAATACCAGTTTTTTGGTCCTCTTTCCATCTCAATTGTAATTGATTATATTGTAACCAAGTTAAATTAATCCCTTCGTCCAACAGTGTCTGCAATGTCTTCAGCTGCCATCTACCCGCATCTGTAAAAAGAACCTCTTTATATAAAAACCCCCCGAGTGACATTATATTTGTATTCCACAAAGTATGACCAAGATCCAGCCATAGCGGTATTTTATAATCCCATTTGAATCGGTGCTTCTTCCAAACTCTCATCAAAGAGTCTCTAAGTATATGACTTTTAAATACTTTATCTACTTTGTCGTCGTAAAATAAGTAAGCATGCCATCCAAATTCAAGATCAAAACTTTCTGCATTCAGTATTCCAGTCTTTTTCCTTCCAAACCAATCACTTGTTAAAGTTAAAGCTGCTGCATCATAATATAACTGTAGGTTTGGAAGTTTAAGACCTCCTCTTTCTGGAACATCTTGCATAATTTTCAATTTCACTCTCGGCTTCTTCTCGTTCCAGACAAACTTATTCACTCCAGATTGCCAAACTTTCAATTGTTTATCACTTTTAAGCACCGGAATCATTTGAAACAAAAAAAGAAATCTTGGCAAAATGTTCATCTTAACTGCTGCTATTCTTCCAAGTAAAGACAGCTGCAGTTTTTTCCAAGTCTCCATGTCTTTCTGCACCTCTCGCCACAACACCTCATAGTTATTTTGAAACAATTTCACGTTTGATTCTGCAACCTGAACTCCTAGATATTTTACCTTAGGTACAGTCTCAAAACCTGCCCTCCTTTCAAGCTCATGTTTACGATCTTGTGTCATGTTTTTAACTATCATTTTAGTCTTTTTTGGATTCAGTCTAAAACCTGAAACTTTACCATAGTCTTGTATAATGTCCTTCATCAGGATTATTGATTCCATTGGTTGTGATAGGGTAACAACCAGATCATCTGCAAATGCCTTTATTCTGTAATCCTCTTGCCTAATCCTTATTCCTTTCAAAGTATTAGAGTCCCGTATTGTATTTAACAAGACTTCTAGTGTTAGAATAAATAAAAGTGGGGACAATGGACATCCCTGTCTTGTTCCTTTTTCAATTTTAAACTCTGTTGTCAAACTTCCATTAATGATGATCTGTGCCTTTTGCTCTTGGTAAATTGCTGAAATCGCTTGTATAAATTGATCCCCAAAATCCATCTTTTTTAAAGTCTTTAGTAGAAAATTCCAATCAACTCTGTCAAAGGCCTTCTCTGCGTCCAAAAAGACCAGCATTGCAGGAATCTGTTTATTCTTGTCAAGATATTCCAATAAATCTATTACTTGCCTTACATTGTCCTTCATGTGTCTGCCCTCGATAAATCCCGCTTGGTCCTCATGAATCACCTTTTGGATTACTGGCATCAACCTGTTGGCTAATACTTTTGCATAGATTTTATAATCTGTATTCAAAAGAGATATTGGTCTATAATTCTCTGGTTTTTTAGGACCGACTTGTTCTTTTGGTATCAAAGATATGTAAGCTGTTGTCCATGATGGGGGTATTTTACCCCTTTGTTGAATATTGCAAAATAAGTCTCTAAGTTGTTCCACCATTTCAGCTTGCAAGGTTTTGTAATACACTGCAGTCAAACCATCCGTACCAGGAGCTTTGGCTGTTTTTAACTGTTTAATTGCTACTATTATCTCCTCCTCTGTTATAGGATAATTCATCCTTTCCTTTTGTTGATCAGTAATTTTTGTAACTCTTTTATCGTTTAAATATTTTTCTATAAGTCCATTCTGCACCTCCTCCTTGGCATATAATTTGGTATAATAGTCCACAAAAGCTTCTTTAATTAATTTTTGTTGAAAAATTTCTTTCCCTCCAATATCAATACTATCTATAGTCCGTATACTTTGTTTTTTCCTCAATGTGTAAGCCAACCATCTGCCCGGTTTATTAGCGTTGCAAAATGTATTATGCTTCGCATATTGTAAGTTTGTTGCAACTTGTTCCGCCATAAGCATTTGAAATTGGTCTTTCAAAAGTTTTATAGCACTGCTTATTCTTTCATCTGTTGGATTTTTAATAAGTAACTGTTCTTTATTCTTTATTTCTATTTCCAATTCAGATCTTTTCTTTTGTCGAAACAGTCTATGTTTAGAGTTCATGTAGATAAGTACCCCTCTCATATAAGCTTTGCTTGCGTCCCAGACAATTTCAATTGAGGTACCTTTATTCAGATTTATTTCAAAAAATTCTTTCAGATGCTTTTTAAATTCTGTTGTATTTTTTTCATATCTAAACAAGTTCTCATTTAATCTCCAGGAACGTCTCAACCTTATCCATCTCAATTTCTATCCATACTGGGCTGTGGTCAGTCAAAGTTCTTGGAAAAATCTTTGTTCTTTTTGTCTTGACAAGTAAATCATCTGACAACAAGATAAAGTCAATCCTAGAGAAGGATCTGTGTCTATCAGAAAAGAAAGTGTAGTCCAGTTCTTTTGGATTATGTATTCTCCAAACATCTTTTAGTTCCATATCTTCTTTCATGTCAAAAAAGGTCTGTGGTAGTCTGATTCTAGACTTTGCCAAACTCTTTTTATCTAATTTAGAATCAATTACTCCATTCCAGTCTCCCATAATTAAAATAGATCTGTAATCCCATTGCAGTATTTTGGTATGTAGCATCTTGTAGAAATAGTCCTGTTGTTGATTGGGAGCATAAATTCCAATCAAAAGAATTTGGCCCTTTGCCGTAAGCAATTCAATTGCTACAAACCTACCATCTTCATCTGTTTCTATAACTTTAGCTGTTAATTTTTTATTTACATAGATAACCACACCATTCTTTTTTTGCGAAGTTGAAGATATAAAATGCATTCCTAGTTTGGAGTTTATCAGATATTTTTGATCTTGAGTTGTGATATGCGTTTCTTGTAAACAAATTATATCATTATTAAATTGTTTCAAATATGTAAATAATTTCTTCCTTTTCTGTGCTGAATTCAACCCATTAACATTCCAAGATAAACACTTAAAGGTCATCAGCCTCTTTTCGGAGCACAGAGCAAAATACTTGAAGGTCATCCGAAAGCTTCGATTTCGCTCCTCCCATAGCTCCGATCTCATGTGCAGTACTCTTAACTGCCTCCTTGTCTTGTCTTTCCTGTTGTTGTTGTTGCTTTTGTTTAAGTAACTTAGATTGAGCTCTAGTTATACGTTGATCCTTAAATTCAATCATCCGAACCGAGTCCAAAATTGGAGAAGATTCCAGCAAGGGCTCATCCAAAAAACCTCCTTCTGCACCTTGCACTCCTTCTAATTCCTGCTTGGACTGTTCTTGCAATTCTCGTTGAGGTTGCTTCTCTTCACTCTCTTTAATCTCCAAAACTGTAGATGTACGTGGAGATGGTGTTCTTACCTTAAGAATAGTAGTATAAAAGTGTTGTGCCTTCTCCACGGTATTCAAACGGCATCTTTCTCCCTTGTATCTGAAAATTATCCCAGCTGATCGCGGGGCGGCTCTACAGGCGGCGGGGCTGGCGGTCTTTAAAGAAACACCGCCGTCGCCGAGGCTCGCAAACCGGAAGTCGAGGCAGATATTTCTCTCTCTGGCCACACTGAGAATATATCTGCCGAACAAAACTCTGCATTGGCGACAGGAAGAGCATCCGGCCAGTAAATACTCAGCTCCATTCAGTTGCCCAGACTTTACTCCGCAAGGGATTATGGGGTCATTAAATGAAGATGATGATGATGATTGAAGAAGTTTCTTTGTGAGCAAATGGCATTCAGAACTTCTACAGGTGGTCCTTCACTTAAAAATCATCAGTTTACTGACCATTTGAAGATACAGTGAGACTGGAAAAAAGTAACTTATTATGCGTTTTCACATTTATGACCTTTGCAGCAACGATCAAACGATTGTGCGATCAAAATTTCGGCAACTGGCATGTACTTATGACGGTTCCACTGTCCTGGGGTCACGTAAACGCCTTTTTGTTACCTTCCCAGACAGCTTTGACAAGCAGAGTCCAATTAACAGCTGCCGCAATTCACTTAACAACGGTGGCAAGAAAAGTCATCAAACGGGGCAAAATTCACTTCACTTTGCAACAGAAATTTTAGGCCCAATTTTGGTCGTAAGCAGGGGTGGGATTCAGCTGGTTCGGACCAGTTCAGGCGATTTTAATTTTAATCTGGTTCGGCGAACCGGTTGTTCCAAGGACTGGCTGACCCTGCCTGCCCCGCCCTCCCAGCAGTCTCCACGTGGCCTGTTTGGGATGCCAGGGCGCGTACGGAGGCTCTGGGAAGGCGAAAAATGGGTCTACCGGAAGTCCAAAAATGGGCCTGTTTCCTGCCTCCGGAGGCCTCTGGTGCCTGGGGAAGGCTGTTTTCGCCCTCCTGGAGGCTCAAGGAAAGCCCCTGGAGCCTGGGGAGGGCGAAAAAACGGGCCTACCGGAAGTCTGGAAACAGGCCCATTTCCGACCTCCAGAGGGCACACGAAGCGAACCAGTTATTACAACCGGTGAATCCCACCACTGGTCGTAAGTCAAGGACTAGCTGTGATTTCCTTTTTCTGTTATATTTTTTTAAAGGGTCGGAGCGTTTTGTTTTCAACACCCGGTCACAAGGAAGAGGTGTGTGCTAAATGGTCCAAACAATTGGCCAAAATAATTCCATGAAAAAATTCCTTATAGTTATTGGTATAAGTGCGGCCATGTTGAGGCTATAAATTCAGGCTATTTTTGTACAGGTAGTCCTCGACTTACAACAGTTCATTTAGCGACTGTTTGTAGTTACAACGTCACTGAAAAAAGAGACTTATGACCGGTTTTCACACTTACGACCGTTGCAGCATCCTCATGTGACCAAGGTTTGGATGCTTGGCAACTGACTCGTATTTACGTCGGGTTGCAGCATCCCAGGGTCACGTGATGCCCCCCTTTGCATCCGTCTGACAAGCAAAGTCAACGGGGAAGCCAGACTCACTTAACAACCGGGTTACTAACTTAACAGCTGCAACAATTCACTTAACAACGGTGGTAAGAAAAGTCATAAAATGGGGCGAAGCTCCCTTCCTGAATGTCTCACTTCGCAGCCTAAACTTTGGGCTCCATTACGGTCGTAAGTTGAGGACTCCCTTCCTTCCGCCTCCTTCTGTAACATTATACACAACTTCCTGAGCTGGAAGATTTTCCTTCCGGAAAATTACCAAACTATTCCTGATTCTGCTTAATGACTGAACGGTTCCCTGCAGGGACTCACTTAACAACTGTAGCAAGAAAGGTGGTTAACATGGGGCAAGGTTCACTTAACAACGCTCTTGCTCAGCAACTTAAACGTTGGGCTCAATTGTGAGTTTTGGGGGTTTTTTATAATATTTGGAAAGTGTTGTGGCCCATCAGCTGCTTGTGCAGCTAGTAGCTGATTCCGACAGCGAGGAGGCTGGTGTGGTGCTGCGCCAGCAGCCTGTGCAGCTGGCACTCGAGTCGGACAATGAGGAGGCTGGAGAAGATGTGGTGCCAGAGGCGGGGATTCAGCCAGGGCCTTCAGAACCTCCAGAAGCTCCCATAAGTGAAGAGGAAGAAGAGGAGGAGTCTCTTCTTGATGCACGGGCGTGCAGAGCTGCCAAAAGGCAGGAGTGGCTCCTCAGGAGGAGGTCTCCTCGAGAGTAAGGCTTGGGGCTAATTGGCCGCTCCCTTAGCCTATTTAAGGAAGGACGATGACTGAGGCAATTTGCAGGGAACAACTTAGTTCACTCTCCTTCGTGTCTTGATCTTAGTTCTTTTATCAGTTTCCTGCAAATTGCTTCTGGGCTTTCTGCCAACCCTAGTAAGATTATGATTATTTATTCTTTGGATTCTCGTAGGCTGTTAAGAAAGTTAATTAACAGCCTTTGTTTGAAAAAGACTGATTTAATTTAGTAAACTAAGGTTTGTACAGACTTTGTGTGTGCTGCATTCTTTGGGGTCCGTAGCTGGGGCAGAACAGAAAGTGCTTTGCATGACAAAGCTGATTTCTGTCTATGACCATCTCTTTTCTCTCTCTCTCTCTCTTGTAGGGCGCACTTTTCCGACCCATCCCTACTTCTCATCCCAACTTGGAGCTGGCCAGCTCTCCCTCTATAATATCCTGAAGGCCTACTCCCTCCTGGATCAAGAAGTAGGCTATTGCCAAGGCCTCAGTTTTGTGGCCGGAGTGTTGTTACTACACATGAGCGAAGAAGAAGCCTTCGAGATGCTGAAGTTCCTGATGTTTGATATGGGCCTTCGGAAGCAATATCTACCGGTCATGATTCTCCAGGTAAAGGACCTGCGTTACATTTATTTAGTATTGCACCCAGTTATGTGAACTCTATACGGGTAGCCCTCGATGTACGAAGACATTTGGAGTTTGCAGGATTGCTAGTGTTGTGGTCCGCCAGCAGCCTGCGGAGCTGGTAGTGGAGTCGGACAGTGAGGAGGCTGGGGAGGAACATGGGCCAGTCCTGGAGTCTGGGGAAGGTTCGCACGAGGGCTCTGCGTCGGAGGCAGAGATGGGGCCAGGGCCATCTGGGAGTTATGCGCAGACTCCGGAGTCTCCAGAATCGGACAGCAGAGAGGCAGAGGAACAGGAGGAGCCTGTTCCTAGTGCGCACATGTGCAGAACTGCCAGAAGGCAAGAACAGTTCAAACTAAAGGTATGACTCAGGAGTAAGGCCTGGAGATGATTGGCCCCTTCCATAAAGCTTAAAAGAGGAGCAAAGGCTCTTGGGCCCTTTGCAGGAAAGCAATGTTGTTAATTCTGTTTCCAGTCAGCATCTCTGTTTGATTCTGGACTCCGTGTGGCTTTGCCAAGTAGGTCTTTGGCAGCGTGTCAAGGGAGATAAAGGTTGGTGATTATCCTGAAGGACTTTTTGCAACTAATTGGGACTGTTGCAATAAAAGAGGTTTTTGGGGCTACTCGTGTGTTTTAATGACTCAGGAAGCAGAGGTCACAACAGCTAGCTTCTTCCTTGCTTCGTGGACTCTTGTTCCTTGCTTTGTGGACTCATTTCCCTGTTCCTTTGTTTTGCTGGACTGCGCGCAGCCAGACGCTACCATATGAGCGCACATGTGTGCGCTTTTCTCTGGGACTTGCCAAGAACGTGGGAACGTTTGACGGGAAATTTGGAGCATTAAAGGGGAGTTTGAATTGTCAGCCGGCTGTGAGTTTCTACTTCTATGAGTTTCCATTTCTACGGGACCATCACACCTCCACCTTGAAATGGTTGGAGGAAATATTTAAAAACCTGGACTGTTTTTAGTTGCATGTCCGGATGATCGTTTTGGGGAGGCCGATATTGGGGGATAATTTTGATAGATTTGTTTAGCAGGCAATGGATGACTTTTTTCAAGACAGGAACTCTTCTAAAAAATTGATCACAAAGTGCATTAAAACTTAACTTCTTTGCCTGGTTGAACTTATAACTGACTTACAGGTAGGGTGAAAAACTCAGAACTGCCTTTCAATTGCGTTGTCAGGGAGTCCTCGGCTTATGACCACAATTGAGCCCAACGTTCCTGTTGTTAAGTGCGCGACGTTTGTTAAGTGAGTTTCGCCCACATTCTGCGACTTTTCTTGCCGCAGATGCTAAGTGCTTAGCATCTGTCACCTGGTTGTTAAGTGAATCTGGATTCCCCTCTGGATTTTGAAGGTCGCAAAAGGAGAATCACGTGATCCTGGGACTCCGCAGCGGTCATAAATATGAGTCAGTTGCCAAGCGTTGCAAATTTTGGTCATGAGGATGCTGCCAGGCATCGTAAGTGTGAAAAATGGTCACAAGTCAAAAAAATTTTCAGTGACGTCTTTGCTTCGGTCATTAAGTGAACTGTCGTAAGTCAAGGACTGCCTGAAGCCTCACCTCCCGGCGGCATATATCCCGCCCACCACTGACGATTGCAGTGTGAAAAAAAGTCCTAATTTTGTTTCCTCCATGTTTTCTTCTCTCTCTTTTATTCGCTTGGCAGATCCAGATGTATCAGCTCTCTCGACTCCTTCACGATTACCACAGAGATCTGTACGATCACTTTGAAGCCAATGAGATCAGCCCCAGCCTCTACGCTGCCCCGTGGTTTCTGACCTTGTTTGCGTCTCAGTTTCCCCTGGGGTTTGTCGCTCGGGTGTTCGGTAAGTCATCCTAATGTCTGGAGCTTGAATAACTTCGGCCACCTCGGGAGAAGAAGGAAGGTCCCTCATGTTGGAAAAGATGGAAGGCCAAAGGAGAAGGGGACGATTATTTATTTACTGTATCGTGAGAGCATGACAAAAGATAAGTAAACATACATATAGGTAGTTCTGGGTTTACAACAGTTCATTTAGTTGTAAATTCGAAGTTACAATGGCACTGAGAAAATGGTGTGGCCTCTCGGCCGCCGGTCCCTCCAGCAGCTGAATCAGAGGAGGAGGAGGTGTGGGAGTTAGGGCCAGCATTGAGGCAACCTGAGAGCTCCGAGGGGAAAGAGGGAATGGAGGTGGCAGAGAGAGAGAGAGACAGAGGCGGAGTCTGGGCCATCCGTCAGCCCTCAGATGGATAGTCAACAGCCCCCAGGTCTGGAGGTGGCTGATGAGGAAGAGGAGGAACATCTGGGTCTGGTGCCTGACACACGGATGCGCCGAAGGCAGAGGAGAGGAGAGCAGTAGAAATCTATGGGCCGGTCCTTGGGACGGAAGAGCCACCACTGCTAGCGAAGCCCCACCCTAACTCTGGGGAGAAAAGGCAGGGGGCGGAGATGAATAGATGTGGCAAACAACTATTCATCTTCCTGCCAGACGGACCTGTCAGCCTGACAGAGAAACTTTTTGTCGGGGCTGCCGGCGCTCCTAATAAAGGAATCTTTTGAGTTCACGTCAGAGGGTTTGTCGTGTTTGGGGAGCTGGGTCAGAACAGAAAAGGGACTGATGACCATTTGCAGACCTGTGACCATTGCAGCATCTCCATGGTCATGTGATCAAAGTTCAGTGTCCCGAGGGGATCACATGATCCCATTCTGTGATCTTCTGACAAGTGAAGTCGACGGGGAAGCCAGATCCACATAATAACCGTGTGACCGACTTTAACAAAGGCAATGGATCGCTTAACAACTAGGGCAAGAAAAGTCGTAAAAGGGGAGGCGGTGGGAAACTCACTTCATGAATGTTTCACTTAGCAACCTAAAAGGTTGGCCCCGATGTATGATTTTTCTCGCCGCGTTGGTTAAGCGAACCACTGCAGTTCTTAAATTAGTAATACAACTGTTAAGTGGATCTGATTTCCCCGTTGACTTTGCTTATCAGAAGGTCGTAAAAGTGATCCCTGGGGCACTGCAACCGTCATAACTGTGAGTCAGTTGCCAAGCTGGTCTGACTTTTGATCCCGCGACCATCGGGGGGCTGCAATGGTGGTGTGAAAAATGGTCATAAGTCACTTTTTCAGTGCCGTTTTAACTTCAAACGGTCGCTAATCGAGGACTGTTGCAAATCGAGGGCTACCCGTACACACAATCCTAGGAGTTCAGACCACCTACAGAGCTATGACCCCTACATAACCCCTACAACATCCAATAGAATACATGTTCTTGCACAGGAACAGGAAGCTCAAGTGCAAAGCCCAAGAGAAGGTATAAAAACCCCTCATTTTCAACTTCGGATGGTCAGTTGCCCAGGACCTTAAACCCATGTGGTCCTGTTCATCAATAAATGGACCCTCTTTCCAATCAGCCTCCAGCCTCCATTTTGTCTTCAGTGTCTTTCTCCCAGCTTGGAACTGAACCAGATGGATATTTCTTCCAACGTAGCCATAACTAAAGAGGACTGGTGCGGTGGCCTAGAGGCGGAGTTCTCGCCTGTTGTGGCCCGCCAGCGGCCTGCGCGGATTGTGGCTGATCCCGATGACAAGGAGGCTGGTGTGATGTCGTGCCAGCAGCCTGTGCAGCCGGTGCTCGCGTCAGACAGCGAGGAGGCTGAAGAGGCTGTGGTGCCAGAGGCAGAGACTCAGCCAGGGCCTTCAGAACCTCCAGAGGCTCCTTCAAGTGGAGATAGCGAAGTGGAGGAGCCTCTCCTCAATGCTCGAGCACGCAGGGCTGCCGAAAGGCAGGAGCGGCTATTCAGGAGGAGGAGGTCTCCTCGAGAGTAAGGCTTGAGGATAATTGGCCACTCCCTTAGCCTATTTAAGTCACACGCCATTAGTAAGTCTCTTGCTGGAAACAACTTGTAATTATCATCAGAGCATTTTTGGAAAAGTCTTATCGTATCTTGTTTTCTGGGCTGGTTGCCAACCTTTGCCGGACTTTGGTTTATTCTTGCTACTTAATAAATTTGATAAGGACCGTTGGTGTGTGTCAATATCCTCGGGAATCCGGAGCTGGGGCAGAACATCGCCTCACAATCAGGAGGCTTAGAAGTTGGAAGGGACCTTGGAGGTCTTCTAGTCCAACCCCCTGCTTAGGCAGGAAACCCTACACCATTTCAGGCAAATGGTTATCTAATCTCTGAGAACTTCAACAAATGGTTATCTAAGGCTGTGAGATCGATCCTAGGTAGAGGCAGATATTTCTCTCTCTGGCCACACTGAGAATATATCTGCTGAACAAAACTCCGCACTGGCGTCAAGAAAGGCATCCGGCCAGTAAACACTCTGCTACCTCCATTCAGTTGCCCAGATTCCACCTGGCAAGGGATTTTGGGGTTGTTAAACGATGATGATGATGATGATGATGATGATGATGATGATGATGATGATAGCCATAACTAAAGAATAAATGAAGAGAAATTTCAGATAAACGAATAAAATCATTATCTTCCAATGCGCTTCCTAACATTTCTCCTGTCTCCTCCAGACTTGATGTTTCTCCAAGGACCAGACGTTATATTTAAAGTGGCTTTAAGTCTTTTGGGAAGCCATAAGCCTTTGATTCTGCAGCATGAAAACCTGGAAACAATTGTCGACTTCATTAAAAGTATTCTTCCCAATCTGGGCTTGGTACAGATGGAAAAAACCATTAACCAGGTATGAAGCGGAGCATTGCCAGGGAGAAGCAGAAGCTGCCAAAATGTAGAACAACTTCCTCGTGTAATTGAGACCAGTTTTTCCTAGCCGAACTGCAGCATATTTGGGGAGTTAAGATGTTGGAATTTCCTTCGACAGAATTAACGTATTTCTAAACAATAGCCAGATCTGTTTTAAGAAGTTTTGGAGGCTATATTCCCTCCTGCGTCTTCCTGTTTTATTTGGCACGGAGTAAGCTATGGATGCTTGGACAACATCCTATCTTAGCGTGAATATCCTAAGAAACATAATGCCGTGTTCCGTGCACGTAAAAAAAAAAAAAAAAAAAGCAAATTTGACACCACGTGGCCTAGTCTTCTTTAATGCAAAATCATTGTGAAAAGGTAAAAACAACAGGGAGGTGTATCACATGATATATATAGAACAATAAAAGTCAATCCTCTTGATTGGTGTGGCGTGGCCATGGTGGGTGTGGCCTACTCGGCCTCCTGAACCACGGCGGGGGGGGTATGTTTTTGCCCTCCCCAGGCTCCGGAGGCTTTCCTCGAGCCTCCAGGAGGGCAAAAACAGCCTCCCCTGGACTCCAGAGGCCCTCTGGAGGCCAGAAATGAGCCCATTTCCAGACTTCCGGGAGGCCCGTTTTTCTCCCTTCCAGAGCCTCTGCGCAGGCCCTGCACTTACCTGGCATCCGAAACGAGCCGCGTGGAGACTCCTGGGAGGGGCAGGGTGGGGTGGGCGGCTCCAGCCAGTCCTTGCAACTATCGGTTCAGTGAACCAGATGTAAAATTAGCCGAACCGGCTGAATCTCACTCTTGGATTTAAATCAGTGTGTCCAATCTCAATTGTGAAGCTACAGGATAAGCATTCTTCTTTCTGATTTGCAGTGCTTCGGATCTGAAGGCCAGCTGCTGCTTTAGAATATTTGGGCACAAACATTTCACTAGTCTTCAACTCTTTAAAGCCGTTCTTAAGTTAGTAACCCTGTTGTTAAGTGAATTTGGCTTCTCCATTGATTTTTCTGGTCAGGAGGTTGCAAAAGTTTAGGATAGACAGGAAATTCTGCTTAGGAGAATGTTGGCATTCTCAAATCCCCCCGATTTCCTTTATATGATACTAGCTAGACGCCCGTGCTTCACTACGACACTATGTGATTGGGCGTGATAAATTGACACTTAAAGCCTGAAACTTAATGTAGAATGTGTAACTCCATAGCATCAGAGCATGTGAATATAAGGCAACTGGCAGTTGGAACAGAGTTCTTTTCAGGTAGGGAGGGGGAGTAGAATGTCTAGCTCCTTAGCATCAGAGCTTGTGAATATAAGGCAACTGGCAGTTGGAACAGAGTTCCTTTCAGGTGGGGAGGGGTAGTAGAATGTCTAACTCCTTAGCATCAGGGTGTGCAAATATAATTCTGTATATGAAATACTAATGATCTGATGGTCATTTCGAAAAATCCTTTCTTAACGAGCACCTAGAAGCCAAGAGGAACATAACATGCCAAATTTCAAGTTTGTAGGCTTTACCGTTCTGGAGATTTTGTGATGAGTGAGTGGTATTTGGCTTTTATATATATAGATGAGGAGACAAATTTGATGTTCATGTGGTTTTCTGTTTATTTTTCTCTTCCCACGGCAGGTATTTGAGATGGATATTTCCAGACAGCTCCAAGCTTATGAAGTTGAATACCATGTACTTCAGGATGAATTAATCGATTCTTCTCTCGATGACAATCAAAGGATGGATAAACTGGAGAAGGCCAACAGTAACTTACGGAAGCAAAACTTCGATCTCCTTGAGGAGCTCCAGGTATGGGCTGCACTTCAGGCGTCACACGTTAAACAACATATTAAGCAAGTCAAGAGAGAACTCGTATTTATTTCTGCTGGATGCAGTCAACAAGGAACACATTTCCCTTGGCCAAAAATTAATTTGCACTAATTTTTTTTTTTTCTGTAAACCAATTGGGCCAGCCGTAAGATTTCACACACACACAAAAATTCAAAATGATGTTCCTGATTTAAAATGTAAGGATTTTAAACACTTGGAACTACGAGTGTATGAACAGAATAAACCCCACTCCCTTCTAGCGCTGATATCGTCACTTAGTTGGATAATGAAATGTTTGCAGGAAAAGAATCGAGCTCAGAGCGCACCAAGGACTATTACTATTTAGATCCCTTTGTCTATTATTCTATTATTAATATTATTATCATACTTTTATTCATTAAACAAGAAACTCGGTCAACTGAACATTTAAAAAATGTATCACAAATATTATTGACTGGCAGTGATGGTTGATACAGATTGCTGCCATCATCATCATCATTATTATATTTAAATTTATTGCCATACATCTCGTGGTTCAAGACAATCATTTTAGTATTTTTTAAGTTTTAAAATCTTTTTAATATTTGTTAACGTTAATGATTGTAGACATTCATTGTTCTAGTTTGGTTGGACGCTACCCAAAGTCATCTCATGTTTACGAGATGGCCAGCTGTATAAATCAGATAATTAAAACGTCTTAATAAAAAGGACATTAAGGATCAGTTCCTTAGGGATCCCCAAATTTCAACCCAGTTACTTATATCCTGTAGAGTAGACGTTAAAACAATCTACTGCAGCAGGAAGTCCAACTCATTCATTTGTTTTTGAACGAGGTAGAAATCCCAAATCGGAATGGGATTTAGGTAAATGCCAAATTAGTAAAACTGTGTTTTAAATTCCATCTTCACTCCGCATGTAAGGCAACTGGACTTTCTTGTTTTTTTCTTTTGAAGACGTTTCGCTTCTCATCCCAGAAGCTTCTTTAGTTCTGACAGGATGGTGGGGAATGGAAGGATTTATATTCCTTGCAGACAGCTGGTCATTTGCATCCTTTTAGAAGGTCGTTGAGGCAGCTTGGAGGTTTGTCTGTGTCCTCAGGGTCACCTGAGTAGTGCTAATGCTTCCCATAGTCTGCAATTTTTTGAAAATCCGTTCCTACTCCACCATTCAAAGGCTTTTCCTCCCAAATTGTATAGCTAAAAGTCTATGGAGATTCTCAGTCATCCAGGTCACAGTTTGTCCGAAAAAGGTGCTTTTTCAGGAGGCAACTGGATTTTCATCTGACGGGGGTGGAAACCTTTTGAGTAGTCAGGGATGTTTGGCCTGGTGGCCTCCAAAAATTTGGAGTTCAACCCCAACATCGGTTGTCATTGATCGTGTCCATCAAGGCTGACAGCTGAAACGTGATGAGTGGGCCTTGTTGCTTACTGGCCTTGTATATTCTTCCATGATCATCCGTATCCTTGTTTCCTGTTTATTCTTTCAAGGTGGCTAATGGGAAGATCCAAAACCTGCAAGCCATGGTTGAAGTTCTGCTTAATAACGAAGGCAAATTGAACCAGACCATCGTCACTCTGGAACGGGAGAGGAAAGGATTGTTAGAAACTCTGAAGGAATTCCACACGCAGCCAGCAAACTCCGGTGGGAAAACTTGTCCCTCCGAGCAAGGACGCACAAATGCCACTAACTGAGAATTTAAAGCTCAGCGTAGGAGGAACTCTTCGAATTGTCCGTATCGCCCATGCCTTACCTGTTCTTCGTCTTCCTTTTTTCTCGAATCATGTTGCACACAGGAGGAAAATGTTACAGTGCTTACTCAACGTGGAAGATCTTGCTCGTCTACGTCCCAAATTCTTTCAAATAATACATAGACGGAGTACAACCACAGAATAATCTTTAAGCTTTACTACAAGTCGACGCATTTCCCACCTGGTTGTAAACTTCTGGAGTTCTTCACCTACCTACAGTAACCGCTTCTAAGAGTTTCGCCGTAGTTAACACTGAAAGCGTTTAGGGAAATTCCAGGCTGCAAACTTCTCAAGGAACTTCAGTTTTAGAAACATGCTGGAGTGATTTCTTTCCCATTTAAGGGGCTAAGGTGTATTCATTTATGACTGAATTTCTTTCTCCGAAAGTGGGTTCTGCTTACTCACAGTGTGTTTTTAAAACTTGCCGGGGGGATACCGACTTCGTGAAACAACAAAGAAGCCAAACATCATCCTATAATTTTGGGGACTACTCTTAGTTGTTGCCAATGTAATAAATATGGATTTTTTGTTATTTTTAATCTAATGTTGTAGCATGGTTGAATGCTTTGAGATCAGGGTTCAGGAGATATCTTTCCTATCTCTCTGTATTGGCAGAATCCGAAGCTTACATATCTTTATAGTTGACTATGCCTTAAGATGTTGTTTTATTTATTTTTGATTCATTGTGCCACAAGCCTTTGTTTTCTGAACGCAGAGCTAGTCGTTTCCCGTTTTAATTCCAGCAGCTCAGTCAGATATCAAGCAAGTTGTAGGTCGATAACACTTCAAACATCACCGTTAAAAATTCCGGAGCCACTTAGAAATGAAAGATATTCGGTATACGTGTTGCACTTAGAAGTACATTACACTGAACAAGATTATGGTTTTAAAACAGTTTTATTTTTTTAAAAAAAATAGTTTAATGATTTTTTTTCATTAGGCCTGCAGGTATTGTTGTGCACTTCAGGTATTTGGCAAATATTCGAGGATTCATCACAATTTTAATCAGAATGATTGGTTACGATCACATTTTGTTCAAACATATGTGCACGTTTGTGATTTTAAAAGTTTTAACTTAGTTACGTAATGATGATGAGTTTCGCTGAGTGGTTTGCCACTGATTGAAGTAAATCTGCACTTTGAGGGGGTATCTGCACTACAAGTGTAAATTGATTTAATAACTGTTTCATCCTGTGGGGGGGCGGGAACAGTTCAATTTTTAGGGCATAATGGTCTCTGAAAGATAATTTTAAATATCCTTGTCAAATTAATTCATTTGACCCTTGAAAGAAAAGCATAACTAACTAACAGGTCTCCCTTACCTGATGTAGTGTGGTTATTTTTTAAGCAAGAGTTGACTGCATTAAATAAACAATGTTCTTTTTAAAAAAAAAAAAAGTTACACTGGCTCCTTGGAAAATAACGGTTGAAATTCAGCACGTGGGGTTTTTTTTTTTTGCATTGATAAATATTGGAAATGACAATCTTATTGACTTTGCTGTTTGGTTTGATGTTAGACATCATTACCCACATGTTTATATTCTTTTGTTTTTCCATAATTATTTCATATTGTCAGCATCAGACACTTACTGCTGTATCTATACACTGTTAGTATGCCCAACAGCATTGGATTTGGACTGACATGACCCCATCTGTAAGTTTTTTTAACACTTTAAAAAAAAGCAATAAACATCAAATTCATGTGTGATGCTCCAAAAATCCAGAAAAGTCTCTTATCTTCCCTTCCTCTTTTTTTTTCTTTTCTTCCTTCCCTTCCCTTCTGGGTTTCTTAAAACATAAATTTAACATGCCACAGGTTTCCAGATTACGGATTGTGCTTCCCTGATTATGGATTGTGCTTTCCAGATTATGGATTGATGAAGTTTCCTACATACAACCTTCTCTTCTGGGTTTCTTAAAACATAAATTTAACATGCCACAGGTTTCTAGATTACAGATTGTGCTTTCTAGATTACGGATTGTGCTTCCCTGATTATGGATTGTGCTTTCCAGATTATGGATTGATGAAGCTTCCTACATACAATCTTCTTTCATGGGTTTCCCTAAAACATAAATTTAACATTCCACAGGTTTCTGGATTATGGATTCTGCTTTCTAGATTACGGATTGTGCTTTCCAGATTATGGATTGATGAAGCTTCCTACATACTTCTCTTCTGGGTTTCTTAAAACATAAATTTAACATTCCACAGATTTCTAGATTATGGATTGTGCTTTCTAGATTACCGATTGTGCTTTCCAGATTATGGATTGTGCTTCCCAGTTTATGGATTGCGCTTTCTAGATTATGGATTGATGTAGGTTCCTACATATAACCTTCTCTTCTGGGTTTCTTAAAACATAATTGTGGTCGTAAATCGAGGATCCCCTATACTCGCCGCAAGATCAAAAATGCGGTAGATATCTTGCTGTATCCTAGCATGGGAAGATTTAATGTTGTTTGTTTGTTTTTTTAATGGCTGCAATGATTTTTTTTCTCCCTGCCCTCTCCCCAAATTAAGTTTTGGGGTTTTAATCCTCTCCAGGAAACTGAAAGGATGGAAAATATCCTGCAGCTTGCAGCCTCCCCTACCTGCTTTGTTCCTTTCCCCCAGATTTATTTACGGCAGCTTTTGTTAGAGATGGATGAGTGGCTCTTTATTTCTCCCACCTGCAAAGTCTCTTATCCGTCTTAGCACAGAACCTTCTGTTTGAAGGTGTTATCCCCGGAGGGATCTTATCTCTGACACACAGGAAGCTTTTTACAAGTAGGAAGATCGCCTAGGCTTCCTCGCAGGTGCGTGAAGGTGGATTCCTGAGACAAGATTTCCATCTTTGGGTTTCAGAGGAAGGCAATTTAATTAGTCCCGGTGTGCAGTCTCATTTTTTTTTTAATTCTTTTTTTTACAGCTGAAGAATTTTGCAGGAAATGCTAAACTCGGTGTATGTCCTGTAGGAAGTTAGCACCCACCCCTTTCCTAGAGGAATGAAATATTTTAGGAAATATTAAAAAGGCAGAATATTATGTTTCCCTGTATGAGAAACGGAGAAGCATGTTTTAAAGACGAAGCAGCTCCCATCTTCCTGCCCCCACCCTTTGTCAATGGGCCAGAGGCAGAAACTCAATCTTTGTCAATGGACCATCATCTGCAACACAATAGGACCCATCTAGCAACAGAAACTAACACAATGGGACCCATCTAGCAACAGAAACTCACCACATGGCACCTGGGAAGATTACATCAGCCAGCAAGGCTAGCTAAGACCCCCACCCCCTGGGAGTCTGACAACCAATCAGGATACTCTTTCGGGGCCCCAGGAAGTTCAAAGCCAGAGAGGGCATAAAACCCGGGGACTCACTGCATCTCCTCCCTTTTTTCTATTCAGGAACTCAAACCATGTGATCCTGTCCACCATTAAATCATCTTTCCAAGCAGTCTCCTTGTTTCCAGTGTCTTTTTCCCCACTTGGAGCTGAACCCAGAAGGATATTTCTTCCTACATACTCCCACACCATTCGAAATTGTACAGCTAAAAGTCCGTAGAGATTCTCAGCCATTCAGCTCATGGTTGTCTCAAAGATGCTTTCTTCAGGAGGCAACTGAACTTTTCTTGTCTTTTCTAGTTGGGTAACCTTGGTGCACGGTTTTTCCACTTTCGGCTGATTTGCAATCCGACTTTTGATTCCAGGGGGAGTTCTTAAAAATCAAGCTGACAGCTTCCGCCTATATCTGTTAATTATTTTATTAGAGGTGTTGTTTTTTTTAAAAAAAATAAAATTAAAGAAGACGGATCTGGATCCACGTTGCAAAGATACGGATAACCAGCAGATGGCAATCAGCATTTCCTGTCTCTTTTCAACCGTTTGGTTTTCATCCGAATGTTTGCAATCGAGAACTATTAGATTATTTTTTTTCAGGAGAAATAACCGCTTGGAGATTTGAGGCAGATCTACCATGTTCGATCACTAGATCCTGTGGAACGTAATCTCTGAAGCTGAGTAGCACCTGAGATTGTTTACTTAGGGATTGGATTGAAAAGCACTAAGGCAGGGAACCCAACACCAGCACAGAATGTAGAATAATAGGTTGGAAGGGACCTTGGAGGTCTTCTAGTCCAACCCCTTGCTTGAGTTAGGAGACCCTGTACCAATCCAGACAAATAGTGGTCAAATCTCTTTGTCAAGTTTCCGAAAGTTGCCCCTAATTAATTCATGAGCCATGATCCAAACTTCAAAGGAAATACAATCATTTATTAGGAGCAACATTCCGGCAATACTCGGATGCAGTTAGGACTGATCCTACGTAGATTTACGTTCCCCTATGACCCTGTCTCTTCTCTCCTCTCTGGCCATGTCATAAATCACATTCTCCAATTAACCACTTTGGCTGGCTGTGAAACCTAACACCCTCCTTCTGATTGCGGTCAGGAAGAATGTATGGAATTCACTTCAGTTCTCCCTCCCTCCTGCTCATGGCAACTTGAAAGCTTTGCAAGTTGACACTCTTCTTGAAAGACAGCCTTGAAAGATTTTAAAGTTTTAAACAAAACGTTAAAAGGGCTAAAATCCCAAGTATCGCCAAGTGTCTCAATAATTATTTTCATCAGAATCTGAAAAACGTCTTTGGTTTTTGCTAGAAATGAAGTTCCGATACAATTCCACACCTAGAAAATCGGAATTCTAGGTCATTCTGCACGATCCATACTTTTTCTCCAAAATGGAAAAACATAGGCAGTTTCCTTTATTTTGGCAGGCAATGTATTTACCCCAAAAGGCCTAAGATCCAGGACACTAAAAGAAAACTGGGACAGTAACAAAGCTATCTAACTTTTCCTTGGGCCTGAAACCCAGTTTTTACCATCATAAGGACTACAAACTTAACATATATTTTTTAAAAACGTGACAGGCGACATTCTTGGGTTGCTTAACTTTTCCTGTGCTTAACGCACAATCGCTGACATTGTGCAGTCCTTAGTACTCGATGAGGTGCGCAGGGCATGTAAACATGTCTCTCGCGCCATCGCTTTTGAGCACTCTGCATCTTTCCATTGAGTTTTGAATTGCGAGAAGATGCAATTTTATCTTTCCATGAAGGGGAATTTTAATAGCATCCTTACAACTAGGTGGCAATGTTGTCCTAGTAAGTTATGGGATACCAGTTAATGCTTGTCCAGAATTCCCTCTTTGAAAGGTTACAAACCACAAGACGAGGTGAGAAAGTCAGACAGATAGCCGTTTACAAAGTGGGAGGAAGAAACCATAAAATCAAGCGATACAATTTTGAGGTGCTGGTGGGTACCCCCCAAAAGACTGCACTGCCCCCTCTCCTTGCATGAATCGAATCTAGTCAGTGGTGAAATCCAATTTTTTTTACTACCGATTCTGTGGGTGTGGCTTGGTGGGTGTGGCAGGGGAAGGATATTGCAAAATCCCCATTCCCTCCTCACTCCAGGGGAAGGGTACTGCAAAATCTCCATTCCCTCCCCACTCCAGGGGAAGGATATTGCAAAATCCCCATTCCCTCCCCACTCCAGGGGAAGGATATTGCAAAATCCCCATTCCCTCCCCACTCTACGTGAAGATTATTGCAAAATCCCCATTCCCACCCCACTCCAGGGGAAGGATACTGCAAAATCCTTCCTCAACTTACAACCACTCACTTAGTGACCATTCAAAGTTACAAGAGCACCGGGGAAAAAGTGATTTACGACTTGTTTTTCACACTTACGACCATTGCAGCATCCCCGTGCTCACTTGATTAAAGTTCCGTTGTATTTATGGCAACTGACTCGTATTTATGACGGTTGCAGTTGTCCCTGGAGTCATCCGTGGTGACCTCCTGTCAAGCCAAGTCAAATGGGGAAAGCCCCGATTCATTTAACGCCCTCGTTGCTCACTGAACAGCTGCAGTGATTCCCTTAACCGCGGTGGTAAAACGGAGGGTGAAAGACAAATGTCTCGCTTCAGCGACAGAAATGTGGGGGCTCCGTGGTCGTCGTAAGTCGAGGATTACCCGTCATCGCACCAGCGTTGTTGTAAGTTCTGAGTAGGGTGTCATAATCATGCACTTTAGCCTTTGGCCTGCATTAGGATGTTGTTGAAAGCAACTTCTGGGAAAAAATTGTGCAACCGTTCCTGGGACTCTCAAGTTGGCGCGTCAATAAGCATCTCCAAATTCCTTTCTGCCTCAAAGGCAGACATTTTGGGAATGCCCATCCTCACTAGGCTGACGGAGAGTGGCTGCTTGGAGCGGAAACCTAACTTTCTCCATCCTTTGTTGCTTGTAAGCAAAGCGTTAACGACTCTTTTGATGGGTTTCTTTTGAAGGCCCTCGCAACAAACACACTTGCGTAAGACCAGAACTGAGTTTGGAGAAAGGGCTGAACCGACAGAGTTTATCCTTCTGTCAAAACTCACCTCCTCCCCAGCCAACACCAGCCAGGTGGATGGTTTTTTTCCCCTGGTGATGTTTGTTAGGAGGGCAGGGAAGCGAATCCAGGAAAGGGCGCCTGGATAGCTCAGCAGACTAATGCATTGTAATTTAACACCAGCTGTCTGCAATTAAAAGTAAGATCGAATCTCGCCAGGCTCAAGGTTGACTCAGCCTTCCATCCTTTCTAAGGTAGGTAAATTGAGGACCCAGTTTGTGGGGGCAATAAGCTGACTTTGTATAAATATACAAAAGTATGAAGGCTATTGCTTAACGCCTTGTAAGCCGCCCTGAGTCTC